ATTACTTCCATTTATTCTATGGATAAATAAGAGAAAGAGAATAAGAGTGAACAAGAATGAGAAAATTAGATAAAGAGAAAGAAAATAAAGTTTATCGAGAAATTTATTCGAGAAAAGCAAGCGAGACGCGGGATAAGCTCGTTTCGTTTGAACCATCCACTCGTGTTGCTACTTAAGCTTTAAGTACATCATTTCTCGGTGTAGAGAGTAAGCATAGGGAAAAGTTATGATTGAAATTGTAGAGGAAAGCGTGCATATACGCATACATATATACGTATACATGGATGTATATACCTACTTAAGTACATAGGACACTTCGTTTACCGAGAGTTGCAATTTCAGTAAGAGGAGTTTAGGGATTTTCTAGATAGTTACTTTTAATCCAGGAACACTTTATATATATAGGTATATGTATATATCTTTAATCGTTTATTTTCCGGGCTATCGAGAAAGCTGATCGTTCATGCGTAAATTATAGTTAATTATTTTCCCTCTATTTCCTTCTACTTGTTCATTATTTAAAGAGGAGGAGGAGGAGGAGGAGGAAAAGAGAATGAGTTCGTTTTTTATGACATCGTATGAGAAAAAGAGATGTAAAAGAAAAAGATGAGGATACTCGTATATACTCATGACGATAGTTTATGGTTGGGTTGGAAAGTAACAGTCTTTTTGCAGTGTATGATCTACTGTGTTACGTGATAATGACTTAATGGTGTAGAATCATTTCTTTAATTAAAGCTCGCATGAGCAGTAAAAGGAAGAGAGAGAGAGATAGTAAAACTTGGTTAACATCGATCATCGTTGTAGAAACGCCTCGTACTTGAAAGCCTCGAGAAATCCTCTTTGCGTCAACCGACGAAATAAAAGATTCTAATACGTTGACGTGGAAACCTTACGATGCATGTAACTAAGATCCGTAAATTGGATACTGTGTGGACGTTTATCTAACTTAATCGAATTTCACGAATTTAGATGAATTGAGTAGTTCAAATTAAATAGACGTATATTATTATTAATGTTTACTTTCATATATATTTTCCAATGAATTATACTTTTTTTTTTATTTATTTATATTACTCTATCAGAGATCTCGATATCGATCATATTTTTTATTTTATTCGTAATTATTTTTAATATATAAATGTACAGTGAATACTTTGAAATAGTCGAAGTATTCGTATTCCAGGCATGATCCAATAAAAACGTTAGAGTTTAGTCAGCAACACGTCGAAAGTTAAGAGAGAGAGAGATCCTAAGGGGAAACCTTCGACGTAGCTCGGAAATCGTAAAATATATTTGGCGAGTCGTTGAATCGAATCAGAATCGTGGGAAATTGTAAAAACGAATTTGTAAGTCGGAAATTAGTTACGTGTGTTATGTGCTACGTTTTCATTAAAGCTTTATTTATTTATTTTTATTTTCTCATCAATGAGATAATTGTTAATTACTTAATACAATTTTTAACATCTTTCTTTGTCATATTTTTAACATCAAACGATGGGGTGGGTGTCGGCGTATTTTATTTCAGAATTGAATGCCTCGTGGTGTTAATTCCCTGTGAAAACGCAAAAATCCTTTTTATTTCGGATTTTGTTGTTGTTGTCTTTTATACGAACGATCAGTACACCGATATATATATATACATATACATATCGGTGTACTGATCTACATATACATATATATATATATATATTACATGAATAAGCCGAACTGTAAATTTTGAAGGGATGGGTAGGACAATCCTTTCTTTTTTTTTTTTTCATCAGGCTTTCCTAGTTCAATCACTTCGGCAAAGCACTCACGTGAATCCTCTTATCGATTGCTATATATTATTAGAATAATAAATCGACGAAACCTTTCAAAGTATTATGGTTCCTCGTGATGTTGCATCGTGATATTACTTGGACTATACCAATATATATATGTGCACCATAACGACGACGTTGGTATTTTACGTAATATAATTTATCGAATTCGATTCTATTCGACCTATCTAATTTATTGGAATTAAGAACGTAGATCAAATTAAGCCAGAAATTTTGTTCACAGGATGTACTTTTTTCCGTTTAATGAAAGTTTGGTAGAGCAATCATTCGGAACTTTTATGAATAACGTTTCTTTTTCAAAGTTTTTCGAATAATTGCCGGTCCACGGAGTTAGGAATTTTTCATCAAAGAATTTTTTCCTTTATGGAGAAAATAGTTGTGTTATCGTACATAACTCTCTACGTTTCGTCGTGTGTTTTCAAAAAATATTTTGTACGTACGTACATACAAATGGGGGATATATACGCATATTAAATTTAAAGAGAGAGACATACGTAAGAATAAAAAAACATACACGTATATATGCGTATACAGAACATACGTATTTTTATATCCTCTGGCAATTTATTAAAAATTTCTAAAAAAATCTCAACGAAATCATACAAATCGGATTTAATTAAAAACTCAATTCGCAATAATATAACGAAACACGAGGATTATACTCAAACGACTGACCGTTCAAAATTAAAACTCTTCACCTTTTATTTTTTCCTACATTTTTTTCTATTTTGTTTCAACGGAAATATAAGAAAGAGAGAGAGAGAGAAAGAAAGAAAAATAAGAAAAAGACATACCGGTTATCGAGGACATTTTATCGAAATTACTCGGAAATATTCCGAGCGTGTAATTAAAAGTCATGACTCGGAGCGATTTCGAGCTTTAACGTCCACGGAAATACCCACGGCCGAGCTTATTTTCATTTTCGAGAGTTTCCCTTACGTCATCCGAACCGTCCAACCCCTATTCAGACGTCTTCGCTTCGGAAAATTGCGAGAAAATGAGCGAAACAACAACAACTATCAAGCGTTTTCAACGTTTGCGCCCCCGTTACTACGCTAGACTTGAATTTTTCTTCTTGGAAGGGAAAAATTCATCGGTGTTCTTTATTTACTATACTTTCTGTTCTTTCCCCTACGGGGAATAGTACTAGATGGTAGATGGTAAAATAAAAAGTGAGAACCCGAGAGAATAGATATTAATTTTCCATCGTGACGACCGTCATAAAATTGTTTGCTAGCAGTATTTCTTTCTCGCTCATTCGTTCCGACATGCTATAACAATCACGATAAATCTGATCTCTCTCTCTTTCTCTCTCTCAAATATTTTCCTTATTTTTCTATTTGTCGTGAAGTTACGATGAATTTTTCGTGGTCGATATAATACGACAAAGTGTGTCTGTGTATGTGTGTCTCTCATCTCTCATTTTTATATTTCTTTCTCGTATTCCGTTGGTGATTTTTAATCACCGATATAAACGTTTATCTTTATTTTTTTCTTCCTCCCTCTCTCTCTCTCTCTCTCTCTCTCTCTCTCTCTCTCTCTCGCTCTCTTCGTAACTTTATTCTATTCAACGAAAAATTTTTCCAATATATCGTTTCACGTATCGTATGAAAAACAATATCAAAAGGATAACAAACAGAAGAAAGAAAGAAAAATAAAAATAGGGAAAAGGACAAAATAAAATTATTTGCATGACCACGCGCTTACGTACATACTTATATACAACGCAACGTTCCATAAAAATGATCCTTAATTTATTATTAATAAATTAATCGAAGATGAGAGAGAGAGAGAGAGAGATGCATGTTATTATACTACAAATTGTCTCTCTGCTAGAATTCAAAACACTTTAACGAATAGAAGTTAACCCAGATTCTTAAGGAAGGTAGAATCTTTTAACGTTATCGAGAGTGACACACAACACAATATCGCCCCGTTAGCATAAACACGAAGGGATAGTAGTACCTTTAAAAATAATAGGAAGGTTCTTTGAAAAGAGACTTGCGTTAATTTTGTTGAAAGTACTCTGGCGCCGTGACGTCAGATGAGATGTACTATCTTTACTTTTCTCTCTCTCTCTCTCTCTCTCTCTCTCTCCCTTTCTGTCTGTCTGTCTGTCTGTCTTCTAAACCTCTTCCTTTCTCCCTCTACTTTCTTCATACAGAAACGGAAGAGACGCGGTAGTACGTCGACTTCACTCGCGCGTTGTACATTGTCGCTTTGTTCTACCTTCTCTCTACGTGTAATTAAAACGTCAGCATTGTTTCGGTCGACCGTGGGCAGGGGGAGGCTGGGGGTACACGGGGTAGAGAGTGTGAGATATATATATATATCTTGTTTATTTTACGAATCTGAGTCTGGTCACGTGACGTTGATTGCCATTGTCAACATCGTCATCGTAAATAAAGGATCATCATCCAATTAAATTTCGATAAACGAATTTCATTAATTATTATTATTATTATTATTCTTCGATTGGTTTTCTTTTTTTCTTTTTTCTTTTTTTTTTTCATTCAAGTTTATCGGTAAAACACGTTGTTTTGAATGAATTTAATTATATTTCTAATTGTTTTATTGTATCGTATATTTGTTGCGTACGATATAATATAATAGGAATGTATTTAAATTTGATAGTTCGGAAATAGCGGCGATTAATAAGCGAGACTAAAGTTTGAATTTATCGTGAAGGATAAAGCCTTCGTTTTTCTTCGGAATGTTAAAGTTTCGTTCGCCACCACAACGAAGATCCAACGCTACGGTGAGAATTTTAACTATCGTATAGTGTATATATATATGTACGTATTGGCAAAGTATGTTTACTGGTACGCCTGTAGTCAGGCTACCTGACTTGCTTTGAATTAGCTCACGTTTGCGTGGAAACGTGTTTCCAGGGGCAGAGATAGAGAGAGAGAGAGAGAGAGAGAAACAGAGAACGAACGCGTGTGTGTAATAGTAGTAAAGTACTTTTACTCTATCTAGATTGGATACGCAATTTTATTATTGTGAATCCGTGCACCGTATCAAAATGCATTTTACGTTTTAGGGTTATTGTATAAAAATATAATAGTGTAATATAAACGAAATTGGTCTTATATCGATCGAGATAAGACACGTTTTAATGTATCCCATTTTTAACGTTTCTCTGAGACTGATGATTGTTCCATTAATTTTCAGGTAAATCCGGGTAGCAAGGCAGCTCAGCAAGGAGCTAGAGAGGGTGACTTAATTAGTAGCATAAACGACAAAAGCACTCGGGAACTGACGAATAGCGAGGCTCATGCTTTACTACGTAATGCCGGGGATCATTTGAAGCTGGGTTTGAATCAGTGAGTTATATCTACTTTCGTATAATATCATTTTTCTTAGTATTGATTAGAGTTAAGTAAGAAATATTATAATAAATAATTAACGATTAATCTTTTTTCTCTCTCTCTCTCTTCCCCCCCCCCCCCCCGTCCACTCCTATTGTTTTTTTTTTCTTCCGAAAGAGAGAATATCGGCTCGCCGAAAAGAAGAATTTATAAAAGCAGTCTTCAAGAAAATTTATCGACCGAAACGTTAAAAAGTAAGTTCTCTTTATTATTGGTTTTTTTTTTTTTTTCTTGCTTAAAAGGATATCTTTGATATTTTATTTTGCTTTGAATCGAATCTCATTGACGAACGACTTTATTCTGCAGAAATTACAACGAAGACGATAACAACTTCGAACACACGGATTATATCGACCGAAGCGAGAAAAAACGGTACAGGTGAGAGCATATATCTACCTATATATATATATATGCCGTTTAAATTTATTTTACGAAGAAATGTCGAACGGAGAATCGTAATACACAATTTAACATCCTATAATCGCGACGAATTATCAATTTCCTATTATTCGTAAATAACATAAAAAATATTCCTTTCCATTGTTGGATTATAATTTTGTATTTATAATATCATTGTACGAATTATTACAATCATTTTCATATTTTTGACGAATATTTCAAATTCTAGTTTTCATAATTAGCATAAGAATAATCTTCTATCGTTATGTTTGATAGAATATTGCATTTAATAATACGAATATTTGTAAATTACTTTGGTATTTGTATTAAGTTATTTCGAATCTATTTGATGACTATTAACGAATACCGCAAAAGAATCTTCCGAATACGGAAATACTCGAAACATGACGAATCATAATAATCGAAAACCGATATTTGCTTGCGCCAATTTCAATCCCAAACGTCGATATAATATAATATAAATGCTTTTATCGAATCCACAACGTTGGAAAAATGCAAAATTAATGAGAAGGCATCGTTGTATCCTTCCGTTATTATTCTAAACATTAACAAATCGTCCATTTATTTAACTAATGTCTATTAATAATTTTTTATGATGCATCGTCATGCATGTTTCGAGCATAAAAGCCGCTTATCTCTTAGAATCGACGTGGTTACTAGCGTTATCGTGTTAAAATATCAAATTTTCGATGGAACTTCGGTTGGTAATGATCGTAACACTGTTTCGGTTAATAGGAATAATTAATAATTTCCAAACGATTGGATCGATTTTTTTGGAATCGGGTAACGAGAGAGAAACGTTGAAAAAGTAACACGAAATGTCAACTACATCGTAATACAAAAATACATTTATCTTATTATACAAGTGTAAAATGGTAGAAACCGTTTGCACGTGACGTTTCCTATTGAAATATTTAAAAATACGTCGAATGCGACGTGTCGCAAATTTTTCATCGTCGAATAAATAAATCGTACCAAATCGCAAAACAATATATTAATTACAAAATAACGTGTAATTATTTCGTTTCATATATATATATATATATTGTTTAAATCCTTTATAATTTATTTACAAAAAAATATATATATCAAATAGAATTGACAAAAACGTGAAAGATTTAAATGGCATGAAAAAGAAGAAGAAAAAGAAAAAGTAATCTCTCGTAAGAGAATAGAACGAAAATATAAGATAAGAATAGGAATAAACCGTCATCGCGTAGCCGTCGTATTATTCGAGGCTTTTATTACCTTCTTCTTTCTGCAAATTGCTTTGCACAAACGTCACGCTACGATGAACGGACAAACACTATGAACGGTGGAAGAAGCATAAGAGGGAGGAAGGAACGTACGATACAGATTGCACGTGTGTCGGACGTATACTCGTTCACATTATCATATATGAATAAGACACCAAGTTGTACCCACATATATAAATATAGGTACTACCAGCACACCAGATATAGGTATATACCAGCACACCTGTCTGTAGAAGAAGGAAAAAGATGTAAAAGAGAAAAAGAAGTTCGTTCTCGTTCGAGGAGAAGGCGCACCCTCTACTTACGAGACTCCCTACGACAAGGAGGCGACCCTCTTCCTTTTCCTTTTCGAACTCGACCCACCTTTCTGTCAGTGCTCACGAACACCTTGTCGAGAACGTACTTCAAGTAGTTTCTCTCTCCCGATTTTCTCGCGTTATTTCATTCCATCGAATCGGCCCAAACTTTTACCGATCTTTGATCTTGAACGAGCAAACAGAGACAAAAATAGATAAAAGGGAAATAGAAGAAGAAAGTGGAGAAGATTAAGGAAAGAGAAAAAATGGGATTTGTTTTCTCGAAGAAATAGAAGAGGATGAACAGTAATGAGATAACAAAAACAACAACAACAACAACGACGACTACTACTACCTTCCAGGATTCTTCTATTTAATTCACAATAAGAGAAAAACTGATCAGCATTTCGTAGCAAATGCAATAGCATAGTTACTGTTGTTTTTTATTTTTCGAGAGGAAAACGAAATTGCTCGGTGGTTGGAACAGAAGGCGTCGTTCCTGTCGACGGTTAAAGGGCGTTGCCGATGAATACCGTTCGTAAATGTACTCAAATTACGTAAATGGATTTTTTATTGAGCTTTCTCGAATAGAAGAAAAAAAAAAAGAAGGAAATTATAATATTGCCGTGGTAAAATAGATTTTCTAGAAATGCGAATGAATTTTATACTACTATTTTATTACTTTTCTTCCTTTGTAATTTAATTTATTCTTCTTCTTCCTTTGTTTTTTGTTTTCTTTTGCGTTTAATATTATTCGAAAAAGAGATGTATTTATCGTGACGATGCCAATTAAAGGTAAATTTACGTCTGTCGTGAGAAACGTAATATGAATCGGCTCGTAGAAACCTATATAATGTAACAATGAATGCTTTGTTAAAGTGAACAATACGTACCTACGACAAATCGAATCCTATTTACGTAATTTTAACGTTATATACGGTATTATTTCGCGAGGTATAACTCGGCGAATGATATTGGACAATTTATTGAATTAAATGTACAAAATGAAAGAAAAGGATAGTACCGTGGAAGTTATTAAAGAAAAGAAATTGAAATAGAAATAGTTCAGAAATACTCGGAAGAATGAAGTTCTTCGGTTGTTCTCAATGCCTCGGCACGGTCCGGAAGGATCCTAGTCCTTCAAGTTCGATGGAAAGTACGAATCCTTTGGTTATAACAAAAAGGCCAATTCGACTAGTTTCCGAGGATTCCAAAGGAAGAATATCCTTCGTGACGTCACGAACTCGGTTACCTCCGATACTTGGATCCTTGAGTGCCTCCTGGAAACGAAGAAAGAAACGTTCTCATGGAAGGACCAGACTAGAGAACAGGAAATCGAAGATACGAAATTCTATTAGGATTGGCAAATCGAAGTACGTGGTGGATCGTGGAACCGAGCCAGCATCACCGCCATCACCACTTTCGAAGGTTGTAGATGACGTCACTAGGACCAAAGAGATCCTAGCGAGATTGGATCGGCTCGAGGAATCGAATCGAAGTTCAAGGAGAAACTTAAAGGAGAAAGAGAAAGAAGAGGAGGAACTCGAGCGTGAATATTACGAGCACTTCAAGTTCCTTATCGATCCGCCTCCTTGTTTCAGGAACGTCGAGGTCAATCAAAATTTTAAAAACAAATTCAACAGCTTAGATTTCAAGAGAATCAACACCGTTGCCATTCCTGAAACAATTAACGATTCTACCACGAACGAATCATTTGGGATTTCGAAAAGAATTAATTTGATCGAGAATACTAACAACGAGTACAATGAAATAAACGGAACGAATAGATTTTTCCGATTGGAAACCCTTGGATTGATCTTTCGCGAACGTTTCGAGGTTGCTGAAAGAACGATGGATTTGTTGGATCGAAATTCGTCGATTCTTAAGAACGAGAATGACCGTGATAAAAGGAAACGATCTTTTAGAAGGGAACACAAAACTGTTCGTTTTAAAGACGAGGACGATGCCTCGAATAATGTTGACAATTTCGAGAACGGCGTCAAGGAGAGACTTGATGATTTTAATACATCGGACTTCGGTGAACTTCTTCATAGATTTTCCAGTGACGTAGAGGAAAACGATTCGGGAACTGATTTACGCGATGAAGATCTGATCGAGAGTTTGGATCGATTGTTAGATGTCACTAAATTTCACGGTAAATCTTTTTTCTTTTTTTTTTTTTTTCTTTATCCTATCTCCAAAAAGATTTACCCTAACTTTACGAAGAATGGTAATACTTTGCGAGATAGTTCAACAAATCTCTTGTTCATATATAAACCACAAAAATTGGATTATCTTTTTTGTTTTTTATAAATCGCATTACGACAAAGTTTAAAATTCATGGGATTCTATATTCGATTTATCGTTAGCGCGGGGAATTCGTTTTATTCATCCGTAAAAACACTGGGTCATTTCCCCCTTATCGAGTAATGCGCATGCAGCGACCCGATTTCCATATACGTACGAACAATCGACGAATTGGCTTTTATCAAGAACGATCGTAGGTATTGTCCGTCCATTGAGTTGAACTTTAATGCAGAACAATAGTTATTGCTATCATTATGCATATATAATACGTATATTGTTTACTAACGTGTGTTGAACAAACCCAAAAAAATTTTATTAAATTTAAGAGTTTATATAGAAAAAATAATGTTTTCAATATAAACTGTAGAATATTTTCGATAGACCCAATTCTTGTTTTTACTTATCTTATAATCGCGTGCAACGAGTAATTAATTGTTGAAGTAGACCATAATTCGGGAAACGAATAATTTCGATCATTCAAGCGATTGTTCCACGTACACTTGTTGCATTACCTTGAAATATAACGAAAGAAAAGAAACAAAGTGATGTTACGTAAAATTAAATTATATATCAGTTCGATCGAAAGCTATAAAATAATACAAATTTATACAATACATATAATATCGGATAGAAAATAAATTTGCTAACTCAAATGAAAAGCAACGAATAAATATTTGAATGTTTTATTTATAACAAGTGAATTAAACGAATATGAAAATAATGTAAGGAAAACTCTCGGATATATTATAACAAGTCATTCTATTTATTACTTAGTCGTTTGCATGCTCTACTCGAAACTTTTCAACCCTTTTGCGCGTATTAGGCACAGTACACTTCTATTATATATAAATAATATTTCTATTTGTATTCGTGTAAACGTGAACAAATCTTGACGTAACCTTTTCAAAAATCGTGACATACAAATTTTCACCCTTTCGTGCAAAAAAAAGTGTTAATATATAATACTTCATTAAACAATTTCGATTTGATGTTTTATTAAAATCCGATTAATAAAGATATCAAATGATAGAAATACATAATATACGTGTATCTATTAAAAAACAAAAATGAAAAGTAAATTTTGGGAAAAATGGTTACGGTACTAATTGCAATTATTAAATCGAAAGGAAAAATTTCGTATCGAACATAATAATGGTGGAGGAAAGGGGACAAGAAGAAGATGCGAGAACGGAAACGTAATGGTCCGCGTCGACAGATAGAATCGATGATTTCGAAAGAGACGACGGGACGTGTTTGACACGGGTACTTTAGCGCACGCCTGTGATGGGTGCGGTGTCGTCCGTCATGGGCCGAAGGTGCCGAGCCCACTTTTCGTCCTTCGTCCTGTACCCTTCTCTCCGAAACAACCTTCGGCTGTGTTTTTCGTCGACAACCAAACGAGAACCCTGTTCTATTGCGGATTCCGTAACGTTACGTCAGGTTACGTGTTTGAACGTTCACATTGATCATCTCATTCGCTATGTTACATCATTTTCTTATTCCTTTTTCTCTCATTATGCGAATACTTATGTGGTATTTTTTTTTTTAGAGAATTTAGATAAATTTTTAGTTAATATTTATTGGATATATGATAAATTGTTTTTGTCAATTTGCGAGACAATTTTTGAAGTTATACTTCTTTTGGCGCGTTTTGGAAAGTGAAGTTAGATGCGACCGAAAAATCGACACCACGAAGTTGTCGATATTTACGATGCGCGGGCAAAGTGATTTCAAATTTACGGCATGAAGTAATTCGTAAATAAATAAATTACATTGTACATATTAATTAAAACCTTTATCAATGGTATTTAATATCTTCATTTTATTTTATCATATTATCGTCTTTTCGATAAATGTAGAGTATTATATTGGTACGCGAGATAATTGAAGTTATTTTTGAAGTTATTGAGGTTATGTTCGTTTTGGTACGTTAAAGAAGTATAACTTCTTACGTGCGTACATAAGTACACACACCAGATATTTTGTATTTTAAATTGATATTTATATATATTAATGTATATATTTCCATTGGGATAAAGTAACGAGTTTGTATGCGATTTCACGCTAGGGTATAATTTTCCTTAATACTTGCATATATCAGAAGTACGAAGAATACGATAGAAGTTATCATTCGAGAGTAGTTGTCTCGAAGGGGTCTCACGGGATTGAAATGATCCAACGAAATAGGTTTGTAGTAATGAACTCGTCATTCTTTGTTACGTACTCCATGTTATTCCTTTCGGAGCTTGGAGAGGAAGTAAGCGGAAGGAAACGCGTAATCTTTCGTTTCTTTTTAATTCGATGATGAATAAATTTCTAATTAAGTTTCTTTAAAAAGAAAAATCATTACGTGGTTTCTTTCATTCATCGCGTTTTTATTGATTTCGATGAAAAATTTGTTATAAGAAAATATACACGCGTATATATTAAATTATATAATGAATAAATATATTTGTGGTGGTGTGTATATTTAATGTTAAAACGAAATTTATATTAATATGCGAATATTCATAGACGCACGTATACATATTATTCATTTATTTTATATTCGATAATCTGGTAATTTATCTAATTTAATGCTAAACAAAATATATTTTCTTTAAATTCGTTATTATATTTTTTTGTTATTAATAAAAAGATCTTAGAAAAGGATTAATATATTCTAGATAAATGTAGATATTATATTGTTAATGAGATCGTTGAAATTCAAAATTCGTTGCATTTAGTTATACGCTGCGACGAAAGTCGAACTTCCGTCAGAATTTGGCTGTTTCCTGGGACGATTATGCTCGCGTCGTACTCGTGACGTAACACGATGAACGTTGAAAACGTGGGTTGGGTGTTCTACAACGTAGAACCTACACCTCCCTGGCTGTCGTCCCGGCATTGTTTATTCGGAAGGAAGTCCAACTCGGAAGTGGCACTATGCATGAATCCCGGGAATGAGGGAGAGAGAGTGAGAGAGAGTGAGAGTAGGAGGGGAAAGAGGGTGGGTGGGTGTCGTCCGAAGCGTCGATGCGAACTCCCCTCGGACCTAGTTTCTATTTTTTATTTTCGAGAGTGTTTCTCGCTCGAGTTAGTTTCTTTTTTTTTTTTTCTTTATTTTTTTTTTTTCAAAGAAATTTCGTGCCATGTCGAACGAGAAATACTAGAAATATTATTGCGCGTAGTTTTTATGGGAAAATATAATAGTTAAATAGGATTTCTTTCTCTTTTGTTTCTCTTTTATCAAATTCTTTTAAGATAACTCTATAAAAATATCGTCACTTATATATACAAAAGGATAAAATTAAGAATCGTGATTATAAAATATATTGTGATTTATTGGATGCATACGTAAGTGTAAGAGTGGTACCGTTATTATAATATTTTATTGAAAAATATATTGTACGAAGAAAATTGTATTACCATATATAATTTATACAGTTTTAATATTAAAAAAGGAACAAAAAAAATTGTGACGTTAACGACGAACACGTGGTTCTCATTTTTTTTTGACAGTTTCTAAGAGTAAAATCATAAGTAAGAGATACGCAAATACAAATACGTAACATTTGCGTTTACATATGTAACGCATGGAAGGAGAAGGGTGAGGAAGGGAGGGGAGGGATCGAGCGTGCTTCATGAGTGACATGACTTCATTTACGTTCAGTGTATAATAGTGATTCACAGACCTCGGAGGTCACGCTGCGGGTTTTAACTCAACTCGAATAATAAATCGGAATCTAAATCCTACACGTTGATCTCGAGTACGAAGAGCACCATTACGAAAGGAATTTTATGTCGCGAACTGTCATAAATCGAATTTTATTGACTAATCTATTTTTTTCTTTTTTCCGTTCGACGAAATTCCAATAATTTTTAATATTATTTAAAATCATTGATGAGTGTTATATATCTATGAATTAGATTAACAAGTTAGAAGTTCCTATTCCATTCTTATTGTTTCAGATGACACTAAAAACGATGAAAGTTACGTTACTCAGAACGGTGGTTTGAAGAATTCTACGATAGATCAACGTGTAGACACGAAGAAAGGTAAAGCTAGTTTTTTTTATTTAAATATCATCTTTGTTATTATTAGTTAACGGTTAAATAAATTTGCATCGCTGGAGGCCTGGGACACACACGCTTTATGCATGATCGATCAAATCAATAGGAAAATGATTATTTATCTTTTCGATTATTATTATTATTATTATTATTATTCGTTATTCGGCTCGTAATCCATACAATTTATCTATCATTATTTGTAAAATGAATCTTTTCTATCTTTTTTTTATTTTTCGTAACGTCACAGCAAAAAGTGATTCGCGAGATACAATGTTATGATCAAAATTGTATTATCTTGCACGTGGGGGGAAAAAATTGAAATTATTATATTAGAGATTGCGATTAACAACATTAGTCTCGAAGAAAACGCGATTATTTGGCAAGTTAATCATTCTCATTATCATTATCATCATCATCATGATCATCATCATCATAACATTATCAATATAAATAATTATTAGTTCTTTTTGTTCAACGATCTTTTAGAAAAAATTATTTTCAAGATAATTTCGAAATAGAACGGTTAGATATGTCGTATCGGGTTTGTTTCATATTCTAATCGTACGGAATGAATCCTTTTTTGGAAAAAAAACGATGATGTGTCATGCGTTTAGAGAACGAGTAATTACTATAACCCAAGTTATGTTTTATTAGAAATCGTATAGAAGGAAAAACGTTTTTTGCGACCGCATTTCGTAGGATATTGCGATTCCTCGGGATACTTCACAGACGCTGAAGTTAACGACAATAAGAAGATGCCTTCTCATGGCTCGCGTAATCGCAGAAACCGCAAAAATCGCAATAGGAGACGTGCCCAACAACAACGTCCACCGACTCCACCCGATGATCCAACCAAATTCGACGAAATCATTGACGATTCGAAAACGAACGACACAGTTTCGGATAATCCCGACGATTCGAACAACGAAAATATCGACGCTTTAACAATGACCGTTGAAATGGAAGAAAATCAATTAGAAAAGGATAGAAATTTGATAATAAAAAAAAATAGATTTGAAATAAAAAAAGAAGAAGTTGATACAAATATGCGAATGATCGAGATCAAAACTATCAGTAGTTTACCTTTGGAAGCTACTATCGATCATATACCGGGTGTTGGAATTTTAGAAACTGGAACAATGGATAAAATGAATGGTGACAGTCCTTCGATCAGAGTCGACGAACCTTTAGATTTTATGAAACCATTGTCGGATAATGTCAATTCTAAAATGAAACTTTTAGATGAGGATATTTTTACGATTGATGTAAATGAGACTAAAGATAGCACCGCGGATATGGAAGATTCAGGACCTATCATAACCGAAATAGATTCGGACGTTGAGAAGGATCGTTTTGATAGATCGGACGACAATGATAATTATAATGTTGAAGAAAAGTTTAAATTAAAATTGAATAATTTTCAAGAAGAAAGAAAAATTGAAACGAAGGATAATACGATGTCGAAGGAGATCGAAAGGAAATTGAGAAATTTCATCGAGGATTTGAAATTCCCTAGTACGTCTTTGGAGAAAGAAGACCACAAAGCGGAATACGAAAGGATAGGTAAAAAGAAATCTAAGAAGCGTGCCATTTTGGAATCTTATTATCGGTCGCAGGCGGCTAATAGATTTTTAGATATAATTCAAGAAGAAGGAGAAAAATTATCGGGAGACGAGGAACAGCATATCAGAGATTTTATTAACGAGGAGATTGGAAAATTTCGTCGTGCTGAATGTAAACGTATTGATGAGGTTACGAACGAAGAAGAGGAGAAATATTCTTCTGAGTTTTTAAATAGTGAAAAATCTATCGAGGAAAATAATATAATTGTGATTGAAGACGGGATTGACGAGAAAGAAGGGGTCATTAAAATTAATGATAAATTCGAAATAACGAATCAGGGAAAATCCATCCAACTATCTAACGATATTATAGATGATAAAAACACAATCGCAAAAAATTTGTCCGAAGAAACGGAGAAAGATTTAAAAGACGATTACGACGGCGAAGAAAAAAATGATGTTTTTATTTCGGATAATGATATTTCAATCGGGACTAAATTCGAGGAACACGAGAGGAACTTAACGTCGAAGATAATACTCGTAAATTCGGGAAAAAAGAACGAACGAGTTAATAATGTTCCACTAGACGAGAAAGGATATCAGATAAAACGAGAATTCGAGGAAGAAAAGATTGTCGAGGAAGAAACTTTGGACGTGGATATTCCTAAAACGAATATTACTGTTATCGAGTCGAATAAACTGAAAGAAGAAATCTTGCAAGAAGATGACATGAAAAATGATGATCGTAAAGAGAAAACTTGTTTATCTCGAGAGGAAGAAAATAAAAATATCGAGAAAAGTGAATTAGAGAAAAATAAAATGGAAAATAAGATTACGGGGGAAAAGAAATACGAAGATGATAAAAATAAGGTAGACGATAAAAACGTCGTTGATACGTTTGACATAACCGATACGAAAGAATTTGATTTTAACTCGTCGAAAGAATCTAACGAAATAAATTTGATGTCCTCCGTAAGAGAAGATTCGGAAACGTCGATGAAAAATGAAAATAGATCGTCGATGATGGATACGTGCTCGCCGCCAGACGTGCCACCGAGAAGATCATCTAACTTTCGCGTTAAACGAGAATCTATTACGAAATCTGAAGAAAAAAATAGCATCGTTAATAATGCTCCAATTGCTATGAGAGAAATAAAGGAAATCGTTGAAATACCGGAACGGCCACCGCTTCCTCGGGAGATGTTTCCTCGTATTTTGGATGCTACTTTAAGATGCGAGTCAACGAACGAAAATATCGTAGTTAATTTCGAACCTGTGAAAGGATTAACGTTAGAGAAGAAGAAGAAGAAGGAGAAGGAGGAAGGTACGAAGCTTGTCAATGATGACGAGAATGATTCATTAAAGATTCCGACGCGTGATTTAAGTAAGACCTTAGTCGAACAGGAACCAAGGGATGCCAATTTGTTCGCATTTTTCAAGTGCGACGACGACGCCGACGACGACGACGGCGTCTTACGTAACGACGTAGAAAGCGTCGTGCTTGGCAATGAGGAGACTCCTGAAATAACCGGTGACAAGTTATACGAACAGGCGCCAGGAAAAGGTGCAGGTTTTATCGACGACGTGACGGCAACCACGACGACGGCGACCTGCTCGAACGATCCAACTCGAAGCTCCGAGGAAATGGCTATGGTGGGTAACAAGGAAATGGGATCAAATGGGATCGATAAGAGTAATGGGAAATTTGTTACGGACGACGTGTCTACGAATTTCGACAAAATTCTAACCGATCGAAGCGAAATATGTGAGAAAAGGATGGTCACTGAGGAAACGGAATTAAAGATCGTCGAGGAACGCCTAGAGGATTCGAGTATTTCTAAAAAAGTCAGGAACGAGGAGAACGTCGATAGGTCAAGGTCTCAATTTAAAATGGAAGAAAGTTTTATCGAAAAGAAAAGTTCGACGGATATAGATGAAACTTCGCTAGATTTGGAAGACAATGCTAAGGATTTGAAAGAATCTTCGACCGATGGTAAACATGTAGAAGAATTTATTGCATCTCAAAACGAATTTCAAGATCAAGATTCGTCGAGTAGTACTGCTTCCGTGAGTACAGTGAAATATCTACCGATAGAATCGTCTCTCGCTGATGTTTGTTCGATCATTGATAAAGAAGAAATAAATTGTTCAAATTTGAGGAACAAATTGTCATTGTTGAAATCGAAGGAAACAAATGGTATGGAAAGTGACGAAGAAGAAATCGAATCAACAAATCGGTCGATAACTTATTCACCGATGGAAGATCTCTATTACGTTCCTTTAAATGATGAGGAAACTTTGACATTTAATCCATCATCTTTAAAAGATCTAAGCCTAAGAAAAATTATCTCAATGCCGTACGGCGTTGAGATAATTCGACAGTTAAAAAAGGCATATAAGCTTAACATATTCGAAAGCTTGCAGAACATTCGATCATGCGTTAATAATGTAAAAAGCATCGAGGCCGACTACCATCATCGATTAAACAAGCATGGTGTGTCTGACGTTGCGAATGAATTAGCTTGGCTAACGTTAAGATATCCCGATACGAATACATCTGACAGAGACGAACAAACTGTTTCAGACCAGATAATATCGTCAAGAAGATATCCAGGACCAGTTAATATCTCGGATTTTTATGGTCAAGTTTTAAAATCTGGAAGGATGAACCGTAAGATCGAAGATTTACCGTGGTTGGGTGTATCGACTTCGAGGGATCCAAGATTGTTGGTATGTTTATCGCCATCTCAACAAAAAACATCGATGCAAACGAGTGCAGACAGATTACTCGATCTTCATACGAAATTTGTTAATCGTCGTAGTTACGACGATGTAGAACCACAAAAAGTTTCACCTATGAATTATCGTATGGTAATAAGAAACGATGATGAGTATCAAGATAAACCATTGGGATTGTTAAATATAATCAAACAAAACTCATCGAGATCAGTTGAATCGAAGAATAATCCGAGGGATGTTGTTGAACGTGAAATTTCTACTCCGTTGAAGAAAGTCGAAGGTCAAGAACGTCTGAAAGTCACTCGCTTATGCGATTGGATGAATTTAGCTAGATACGAATCGAACGATAACGACCAACGAGATTCGAGGAGGAAAGTACCCTCCTCGACGACTATGATGCCGAGTAGTAGCGGTGGTATTCGCGGTCAGTATGGTTTAACGAAAGATTCGAGAACGTGGGACGGATCGATGGATCTCTCGGCGAAAAATCGATCCTCCTCGATGAACAACAAGTCTTCGATTACATTTAACAGCGCCATTATCGATAAAAACCTCTCGCCGGAACTCGATAATAAAACACCAATACCGAAAACACCACCGAAAAGATTTATCGAGCCACGATACAACGTGAATCCTGCATTGATCGATGACAAAGTCGAAGTACCACCAAGATCGAAGAGAATCGTTACCGTGGATAAATCTTGTATCGATACCACGAGTATTTTCGATCAGAATCCACCGAGGAATCATTTGGAGACGAGAAAATGTCATGACGATAACGCGGAAACATTGAAGAAGCACACAGCCACTGAAATCGTGGGCAATTTGAAGAGATTACAGAAAGAAACTATGGAACAATTGGATCAAGGTAAAAGAAAATATTCTTTACCTAAAGAATATTTCGATCAACAATTAAATTATATCGAATTATTGGAGAATCAATTGAAAAATGTTATATTAGCCGAGGAAGAGGAAAGAAAAGCTTTCGATGATTTTCAATTTCACGTTGGATCGAAATTACGCGAGGAACCGAAAAATATCAAGAAAGAAACGATAACGAAGAAACAAACGAAACCCGATGACAGTGACAGTAGAATCGAGAAGGAATCGTGGCAAGAGAAATCGCAAAAAGTTGATCAAAATCGTTCGGAAAGTTTTGAAAAATCTGGTAATCGTGACTTTTGTAAAACGATTCATGACGAAAATGGTGTTCACGAGGAAGAAACTAGCGAAAAGATCGAACGTAGCGAGCACAGAGTGATTACTCAAAGAGGAGGAGGAGAAGGAGGAAGGGGGCCTGACTTTTTAAAGGATAAGAACCAATTTGATTCTAAAGGGAAGAATTTACCTGAGTGTCAAGTTGACAAAAAGGATTTGACTAAATTGAGGAAGAATAAGATCGACAAATCGGATTGCAGTGGGGCGATGAGTGGGGAAGCTTTTCGTCAAAGAATGTACGACGAGTACGTTAACAAAGTTCACGAAAGGGAAGAAAGGAAGCATCATAAGGTTGTAAAGATCAGTTTGCACGACGAAATAAATAAATCCGAATCTAAAATGAAAAACATGAGTGCTATGGAGAAGGAATTTATCGAAAAAGCAAAAAACAGATTAAACAAATTCGGTATTAAGCTCGACGAGAGCGAAACAGAATCTGAGAACGGTGTTGAGAAGAGTCAGGAGGAGGAGGAGGAGGTGGATACAGTTGAGGCAAGATGTTTGATCGATGGAAAGGAGATAGGTGATCGGAGAAAATTACCAAAACATCTACGAGAATTCTTGAAGATCTCGGTGAAGGATATCGATCAGGATGGTGAGTTACACCGAGAGAAAGTGTGCGAGAGAGAGAGAGAGATAAAAAGCAAATTAAAAGAAAACTAAAAAAAGAGAGAGAGAGAGAGAGAGAGATTGATGTGTTGCTAGATGTGTGTCAATTATTACCATTTTTCACACCTTCCGAGTGTTCTCCAGACTACCACCACTGACCAAGGACCAAAGGGCTAAATCCTAATAATTTCTTTAGCCTGCGGTTCGCAAAAACACGCATTCCAAAACGAACGAACTCGTTTGCGATGGTCTCTAATATAACGCACGTGCCGGATTTATATTGAGTATTTGAATTACATAATAGATGTTTCGTGTTTCTGGTATTCTTTTATTTATTTCGTTTATTTTTTCTCTTATTGATCGTTACTAACGTTGATTGACGAGGAATGATTGTAATGTCGCTTTTTTTCTTTTTTTTTCTTTTGGACTTTTTCTTCTTCTTTATTTTTGTAAGCACGTTTAAAGTAATCGTAGAAAGGAATGTGCAAAGTAAAGTTTGTTGGTGTTTAACGAGGAATCGATCAGTTCGGGTGTTCGTTTCAAAGGCGTGCGCTGCTGAGTAAGTAAAGGAATTTCACTTACTACTTCAGGTGTTTGCTTTTTTTTCGGTAGAAGAGAGTATATATATATATATGTATATATTTGTACTATTTTCGTTTCTATTTCTTTTTTATTCTATTTTATTTTCTCGTTTAATTCTCTCTTCCCATTGGAGACATAAGGGCAAAAAAAGAAAAGAAAGAAAAAGTAAAATACAAAAAAATGTTTTCAACCATGAGCATCGATCACATCGTACGCGACGTTTCGTTATCTCTAACGCGTTTGAAATACTTGCCTCGCATTCATTGAACCGAAGTATTCAGGGTATTGTGCGATAATGGATATAAATCGTAGCTAATGTAGTATTAAAAGGTTATCCGAGGAGGATGTTTCATGTTTGCGGTTAATAAGCGATCAGATTGTACGTAGAAGAAGGCAATCATCTTTTACGTATTTATCAATCGAGTCTTTCGTTTTCAAGTCGAAGGTTTTTACAGTTACTCCGAGAGAAATCCCGAAGATTCGTTCGATTTTAAATTAATCGATAATTCGTCATGGATAATTTATTACAAAATCGATACCTTTTTGCTGTGCCGACGTTACAGTTATTTTTTTTTACCACAATATTTATTTCTTTTATTTGAATAATTATATCACGATTTTAATTATTATTGTGACACAACGTAATCGAAGAAAAACATATCGCAACGATAATTAACATCATTTAATTTAGTTTCACATTTAATTCAACATGCTCCGAATTTATTTTGATTTTTTTCTCCCCCTTTCCTTTCTTTTCTCAAAATCGAAATCGTGAGGGGGGCTGAGGCTGTTTGCCGTCAGTAGCCGTCACTGTGTTAGTATGAGGCCTGCAATCTCGTTTGCTGATTCATACACAGAATGAGGACCTAAATTTAGGCCTCCTACGAGAAATAGGGCACTACTAAGGACGTCACGAATACGCATCCCAGTTCTCGACGACGAAAACCACCGTCTTCATTTTCGGTTATTTCCGACTGCTTGCAACACGAACAACCTAAACACATAGTCTCTGTGCTACACACGCTGTGCTGCTGACCCAACCAACTCTTAAAGTTTATCGTAACTAACCGCGCGAATCTTTTATCTATTCTTCACAAATATTCTGCCTTTATTCATCTTTTCTCATATACAATTTATAGATATGTATATATTTTATATTATACGTCGTAACTAATAAATATATATATGTATATATATATATATACTCTTTTCAGAGTGTTCCATTTACTATTGCATTTATTATTCTATGAAATAAATGGTTGAAAATGTTGTTAACATCGCGTTTTATGCTTCTTCTAAGAGACGTAAGATATATTCTCTCTCTCTTCTTTCGAAAGCTTTTCAAGCTCGCGAAATGGAACAGGATAAAGTGGGCAAATGGTCGTTCTATTGAGAAGAAAATGAATTCGCTCTTTAAAAGGTGCTTATCTTGCCACCAAAATGTTCTCTCATGAATCTTTCTTTGCGTAAGCGACGAATATCGAACCCGTTCGTCTTTGCTTATTTTTCTATTATATTGTAAGAGTCAAAAATATCGAGCGTTAAACGTAAACGCAAATTTAGATTTTGCTGACCTCAAAAAACATGCCTCCGTTGTGTATACCTCTACCGTTTACTATGAATTTCATTTGGTAATTAAATCATCACGATCTAACAATTCGATAGTCAACGTATATATTTTGTAAATCATTTTTTTAATCATTTTCTGATCATTTTTAATTAAGTTTTTTTTACTTTTTTCTTTCTTTCCTTTTTGTTGCTTCCCCTTTTGCACACACATGCACGCTTTTTAGATAAAACACGTGGCTATCGTATCGGTGGAGGTGGTAAATACAATGAAAACGATCTGCTGCACGAAATCGACAAAGCTTTGGTAATCGGCAAAGGATTTCTTCTTGGCCAAGGTGCGTTTTCTTTTTTTTTTTTTCTTCTTATTCTAAATCTTGTCTCGCCTTGCATTGCATGCTTCATTCGATCGATTACTTAACAACTTTTGCAAAAGTCATTAGATTTATTATAGAATTAAGTATTATCTGTTATTTATGTAGGAAAGTAAGTTTTTACAATATATTATCATTGATATTTTCTTTTTATTTGTTTGCATTGACACTTTAGATTAAAATAGATACGTAAGGAAGTACATTATAATAAAATACGATGAATGTATTACCGGAAAAAGGAGTTGGAAAATCCAAAAGAGTAATATTTTCCGTCGAACATTGAATTTACGTAACATCAAGAGCAAAAATCCGTCGAGGATTCAATTTACTAAGATTTCACTGAGATTTTTCTCTCCGAGCTTTTCATCTCTTCCTCCTCCTCCTCTTTTCCCCTTCCCCCCTACCCACCCCCGTCCGTTTCTTCACCACTGCAAATTCTCTTATATCTTTCCGTTTTATCTCTATGAGAAAACATTTTCCTATCTCTCGGACAATATTTTCATATTCTTTTTATTCGATGAATTTCTTCTGAGCTTCGATCTTCCTAAAATAAACGTTCTTTTACTTCCGATTTTTTTTTTCTTTTTTTTTTTGGATTCATAAACATCAATAGGTATATTTTTGTTTTCGCCCATTAAAATATTCTATCAGATTGTTACAACATATGGATTGTTACGTTAAAAAAATTAATTAATCATATATTTAAATGTAGTCATTCTCATTTGCTTATTCATAACATTATGATTCAAATAGTTTGATAAAAAAAATAAATTAATCATCAAAATATAAATGATGCGTGAATAATATGACAGATAGATGTAACATAACAAAGAAAGATATATCCTATCGTTCGTTTGCAACATGTAATTGAAACAATTTAATATAAGAAAAAAAAAAACAATAAACTAATAAATTACAAAAAATTTATGCAACAATAATTAGTTTATCGTTGAATATAATATAAAAGTTTTGTTTGAGTGTTCAAATATAACGGATTAAGAGATAACGAAGTTTAGATGTTTAATTTTTCGAATATTACAGAAATGTATGTCTGCTCAAATGAAAAAGATGCTGAACTTTAGAGATTAAGTGGCTGAAGAAGTCCCAATAAAGGGACGAAACTAAACTAAGTTCTAGTTCTAAAACTAAGTTTTAGTTCTTTTTAATGTCCAATTTACCCTATGATACTTATTTATTAATAATATAATTTTTCGAGACGAGAGAAATAATTAATTGAATAATATAAACAAGATTTGTTAGTATATTATCTCAAACCCAAAAAAAAAGAATGCAAAATCATAGAAAAGGATAGGGGGAATTAACGTGTGGTGGGCGGGGGTGGGGGCTTGGGGTAAAAGTCTGGCTATCATCGACGCCGGCGTCGAAGTTGGCGTCGACGTCGGCGTAGTAAACGTCGGTAAAGGGAAATCGACGACGTAGTGTGTTAGGTTTTTGCCAAGCGTCGTCGTCATCGTCGTCGTCGTCGTGTGCTAGCTTTAGTCTACGATCATCTTTCGTGCTTTCCTAGCGTCTTTCTAAAACGCTATGAAACTTTGAGAACCCGTTCGTGCTCGTGCATGCCCGTTACTTTTCGAAATATACATTGGAAAAAAAATAAAAAAAAATAAAAAGAAGATAAACGATCTTATTCGTTATGTTGGAAAAAAGTGAGTGGATCGATCGAATTTAATTAATAGAAAAAAAAAAAAAACAGCAACTAAATTAAACGGAAATCAAATGATCGTATAAACAATTGAGATTGAGATTCTTTTTTTTTTTTTTTTATAATACATTAATTTTACGAATTATATTCCAAAGAAAGTTGGCGGTTATTATAATTTTTCTCTTATAGAGGATGATAAAAAAAGTAAGAAAGAAAAGGTCGGTGAAATTGTTTCGTTTAACTTCGCGAACGTAATGTCGTTAAACTTTCCAACGGATTATATTATACGAAAGCTCTTGCTCGCGTTGGCGCGAAAAATAAAGACATAAGCGATTATTTATAGTTTCTTCGTTGATTTCTATTTGTTTATCGAGTTTAATTATTCCACATTTCATTCGTGTGTCTTCTATTATTACCGAGCTAAACGAGTTTTCCGATAATTCTTAAACCGTCATTATATATATCTTTCGTATTCTATCATAATATTCTTACTTAAAATATTTAATGACAATTCAAAAGGGTAACCTATATATAACCGTGATATTAATTAAAAAAAAAAAAATAATAAAATAATAATAATAATAAAATCATCGAGATTGAAATCGTATTAGAGTTCGTATTAGAGTTCGTATTATAACGAGAATAGTCTATGTTAATAACGTTCGTACACATTAAGATACATACATACGTAACACACGTGCAGGGAATATAAATTTTCGTTTCTCCTCATGTAAATTATAATTAGATCAGAGAAGGCCACGAAATGCTGGAGTGGCGATCATGCTGAGACGAGAGAGTCTCGATCACCGATTGAGAGTTGATCGGTCAGCAGTATATTCACATATGCACATATGCACATATGCGAGTACGTGTAGAACGTGTACGTTGCAGCAACCAGCAACGTGCTGCTGCAACGTGCTTGACAAGCCAATCTATTCTGAGAATCGTTTGTAAAGAACGTAACATCAATTTGGTGTATGTGTGTGTGTGTTTTCTTTGTATATACGTCTCTCTCTCTCTCTCTCTTTCTGTATGTGTGTGTGTGTGTTTGTAAAGGCGCGAATAGCCTTTCCAAATTTTCCGTGGTTATATGTCGACCTTGTTAGTTGGTGATAGTTTTCAAAAAGATAGAAAGAGAGAGAAACGTTTCACGTTTCGTTTTCTGTTTTCTTTTTTTCTCCTTCTTCTCGTTCTTCTCGTCTCTTTCTCACTCTCTCTTTCTTTTACTTTCTTTCAGTCATCCCTCTTTTCATCCCCCTTTTCTCTTTCTTCTCCACTCATTCGTGTTTTTTCTTTCTCTACCTTTCACGAGCCCGGCAAGCACGGTTCTGTATTAATGAACCTCGTTGGCTTCGTCAAGGAAACTACTTAAGGAGCCTTTCAGACATTTCCAACGACGATGGAAAAGCCGAGGAAAAAAAAATCTTTTTATGAGAGTGGCTTCGTTCCTTTCTTTCTTACTTCCTTCTTCCCCTACTTACTTTCTTAACCTTAACCGTGGAAACAAAATGATAGCAAATTGACGATATGAATGTCTTTGATATTGTATTAGTCTCTTTTCTCTGATAAAAATACTTACAATTATTAATATTCTTCTTTTATGTTGAATTATTGCATTTCATTACATGGATCATTTAGAAAATATTAGTAAATAAGATTGGATATCCAAGGTTGAACTTTTACTTGTTCCAAGATTACATCTCGAAATGTGTGCTAACGTTCCGTTTAAATATCTTTTATTGTATTTATGCGTCACTATCGTAAAATACAATATCTTAAACACGCGTAATATATTTTTTCTACTTTATTTTCTACTTCATTTCCTCCCGTTGGAATGGGGGAAGAAAATTTTTGATATATTATAATATATAGCACGCGCGGGCGTATAGAAAGTGAAAGAAAATCCTTTATTTCGCGAAAGTATTAATTATATAAACTTAAATTTATATAAAAAAATTGTTTGCTGCTTTTCCAGAGAACGTTATGTTCGCCCCAACGTTTAAAGCCTCTTCCTTACCAACGAAACCAGGTAAAAACTTTTGCGAATGAACGGCAAAATTAATGATGATGATGGTGATGTTACGTTTTTTCTTTTTTCTTTTCGTAGCACGTTAAACATCCAATTAGACGGAGCGATATTAATGAGAACATTTGATAACATAATAAACGTTGAAAATGTTGCCGATACTAACGCAATTATTCAACATCGATTATCAAAATAAATGAATGGATTCATTAATGTGTTATATGCACGATCTGTTGGATTGATTTTATTTTCCTTTATTTTTATTTTTTTTTTTTTTTTTGGAATAATACTCTAATTATCGTACGATTCAGGAAATGATTGTGATGTCGAATCGATAATACACGATAAATCGAATTAATATCGATCGATCGGTAAGTAGGATGCTGTTGCAAATGTTATGTTTACTTTTTGGAATAATGCTGCCTCAGGGTTTATTCTTTAAAACTGCTATAAACCAATAGTAATTATTACCAGTGCCTACTCGTGTCTAATTTTACTTCTTAGCACACACACTACTACTCTTCGTCGTTTCCTGTTGTGTCGCAAGTACCACGTGTCCAACATTATGACTAATAGCGCGAATTGAAAACTTCTTATACAAAGACGATAGCATCTTTCTCTCTCTCATATACACGTGTGCACACACACACACACATAGACACACACAAATATATGCATTCATGCTTTTGCCCTATTCAACTGGAACATGTATAGCCGACCTGTATTTCAAAAGTAACGAGGTTATAAAGTAAAAGAAAATAAAAAGAAAAAAAAGAAAAAAGATGAGAATGATGTGAGAAAAGAGATAACAGAATAGTTCATTTCCGGGTTCCTCGTAATACGAGTTTACGCAATCGACTGAGGAAAAGGAGAAAAAAGAGATGGTCCTTTATGTAATAACGCTACTCGAGCCAAGATTAGCGGTATTCTTTTGTAGATACATATTAAATATATACATATATATACATTCCGTACGTTACTTTTGGCACAAACGGAATAAAATCCACATGTTCTGGCACATTTAATATTCGCTTTGGTGCAAGGACCCTTCGTTCCATTGTGCTTTACTTACTTTAAATCCACCATATACTAATTTGAAATTTTTTTGTCCTACATCAGTAGTAATATTAACAATATAAATAAATATGCATCCAAAAGAAAAAATACCATATCATTAAAAACAAAAACTCGATTAACAATAAAATTTACAAAGTCGGAAAATAGGATTTTAGGGATGAAAGAGAAATGTTGAGAAAATATTTGGACTTTGTCGGTAGGAATTTGGTCGCCAGGAAGCGAACCGCCGGCACCACCAAAAGAACCGAGTCCGGATCGTATAAAGGATTCGCAAAAAGATGGTGGAATACCGCCAGTCTGGACGCCATCCAGCGCAGGAACGAGTCCTGTGCCAGAGAGGAAAGAATTTCGTCCGGTACAATTCGAAAGTCCAATTTTAAGTAGAAAGAAAAAGTCAGAAGAGGTATGCTGCTTTCGAACTTCTTTTTTTTCTTTTTTCTTTTCTATACAAATCGGTTAAGATTATGAATACGAATTGTCGAAATTATATTTTCAAAAATAAAAATAGAAAAGAAAAAAGGCAAGGTTATTCCTTTTCGTGGATAAATAAACAAAAAGAAAGAAAGAAAAAACAAAATCAATAAAGAATATTTGGAAATTGCTTGAATAAATTGTAAAGTTCAAAGTTTTTAATCAATATTCCGTTTTTGCAGGCCGAAGAGGAAGCTTCTCCACCTCCTTGGAAAAGCGAGGAAGAAAAGAAAGAGATCACAACCGCCGAGAGCAGCTTTTCACAAAGTAGCATATCCACCACGTCGCGCATTGTTAACTCTCATTCCGCTCCGTCTCAAGGCTTGAACACGCTAGCTTCTACACCAAGATTACCTAGAGCACAAAATCCAACGATCACGCTTCTACAAAAAGCTCGAGGTTTGAAAACAGATACATGTATATATAGTCTAATTACGGTATAACGCGATATAATACGTCACAAAGTCAAATCTTGAACGCTTTCTAAAAATTTGAACGTTTAAAATTCAATGAAACGTTCAAATCGATTATTCAAAAATCATCAAGTATTGATTTTGTAACTTTAGAGGGACAATTGCCAAAGGGTGCAGCGTATATCGAAGAAAGTGAACCTCCTAGGGCTGGTCATAACGATGAGAAACCTTTGATTAGTCCAGGAGAAATAAGTAAGTTTTAATAATGAACAAATTTTGTCAATAATTTCATTCAATGTCATTTTTCATGATAATTTCGCATGATATTTACTGTTCATTGATTTTCTTTTCTCTCCCAAAATTTTGTCGAAATTTCCAAATATTTGTGTCACCACTATCGTACGTATTTATAAACCATATTTACTTACTTGACCACTTGATGATCGATTTGATTTGACAACGGGGATTATAGGGAAATAATACGATAGGTTCATGTCATTCGTCATCGTTTCCTTCGTCGTCATATTTTCTCGTGTCCTATTATCGCGCGCGTTTATCACGATCGTTTATTGCTTGTGAAATCAATAAATGTTCCGTTAGTCTACACCGTGAAGAAAGAGTACGAAAGTGAGCCGGAATCGGAGAACGAACCACCGAAAAAAATGGCCGATTTGGGTCCTAGAAAGTTCGAAGGTATCGGGCCTACTACTAAAGAGGGTATTCCTCTCGTTCTAAGATCGGTAAGTTTGACAAAATTTATATTCAATGTTCGTGTGATGCAATGTGATCAATATTAAATGGATATCAACGCAATAATAATAATAGGGTGCTTTTAATATGATATTAATTAATACATATATGTATATATTATAAATACTAGTTAATATCCAAAATAATTACGATACAGGTACGTGTTGGATAAATAAATCTTGTTCAATGTTATTTATTTTATATATACATAAACTTGTTGTTAAAGTTTTCTAGTTAGCTTAATATTAATTACGGAGTAAATCGATTTTTAGGAAGTCAAGGAGAACAATCAGACCAAGTGGTACAAGAAAATGTACGATTCACTTCATCGTGCTGAGAAAGACGGTAGGCAATTGTTTATCGTTTAATTAAACGTTATTCGATTGAGAGAATCATAACGGAATTGTTAATATATTCAAATAAAGAAATCTTCTCGATAGATTACCATTTCTTTTCTTTTTTTTTTCAGAGGACTACGTAACCATTCGTTATAAATCCAGAAGAGGTGAATATCTTCCTCCTCAGAAAACCATTTAATAAAACACGAATTATTCATATTAATACGTTTATTAATCGTAATCGTTAACATAATATAATAATACACGAGCGTCGCCCCGATGTAAATAGACTTTGCGTGAACGAAAGTATTTACGTCGTTTGTCTGGATGAATGGAATTATTGCGTAACAGAAGACAATAATTATGATAATTATTATTATTATTATTATTATTATTATTATTATTATTATTATTACTACTATTATTATTATTATTATTATTATAGTCTTAACAATCTAATCGCTCGTGCGTGAAAATAACAATAAATAATTTGTGCTAAATGCGTTCGTTACACCATATTATATTGAACTATCTTACCTAACATCCTGGTTCTAACAAGTGTTAATGGCGATAAGCTTTTATAAGTTGTCCTTTATTTCCGATGCGAGTTTAACGAGATGATGCCATAATGTCGTACCTATTTAATTTGCATTATATCCTGCAGGTGCTTTACTAACTCTACGATCTCTATATATATGCATACACACACACACACACACACACACACACACACACACACACACACACACACACACTCATATATATATATTTTTCGATTAAATTACACGACAGAGTAACGACAATGTTCATTTGAGCATATACAATGGTTAAGGATTATTCGTAAGAATGTTGTTCATTTATCAAAGACAAACCAGACGGACGGATCTTCACAGTTTACATACATTTGTTATCATGGTGATGGAAATGAAAATAATAAAAGTGATTATTAAACACTTTGAGTGCCGTGTTTTTTAGAAAAGGGAATTCGCGTTATTAAAAAAACAAAATTATTACGATTTATTATCGTATTGAAAATAATAACCTTTTAAACGTAGCTACAGTTTTTGTGAAAGACAATTAGAAAAATATTGATTATATTTTCAATTATATATATATCTTGATCATCTTTTCTTTAACAAGGCCAAAACATATACTTGACACTCGAAGTGTTACAAAAAGAAAAAAGGGAAAAAAATGAATGTTAACAAAATTTCAAATATTTTTGTCTAACATTAGAATTGATTTTTTTTGTTGCTCCAGGAGGAAGGTATGGGTCTGGTATTAGCAGCTCGGGATATTTGAGCGAACCCGAACCACGTGGTTACACCGATCGATCAGCTACTTTTGATAGCCGTCGTCGGCTTAAAGGCAAAGAAAATGATTTTTCTACTTCGACTATGCCTAGAAAGTGAGTAGTATTTCCTTTCTTTTCTTTACTTTAGCGAACGAAACACGTATCTCCTTCCATTCCAGGAACAACCATCATCGCAATGATTATTTTTTAATAGCAATTGCACGCGTTGCGTTTGTATTTTTTCGGTGTTTTTTCTTTTCTTTTCTTTTTTTTCTTTTTTTTTTTTAGAAATGGAGCATTGAAATATTCTTCGGACGTTTACAAGAATCAGCCAGGACGGATCGAGGATTACGAACCAGGACGATCATCGATCGCCGATAAGGAGGCAAAAGAAGTATGTAAAAAAGAAAAAAAAAAAAACAAGAAAAAAAAAACAAAAGCATATTTCTTTTACACTTATAATATCGTTAATCAATTTATATTGAATTTTCCAATGCGTGAGAAAATTCTAATGGCGCACGAAAAATTAATCAAATCGGTTTGACGGTTTACAAACAAAAAAGAGGGTCCCCCCCCCCGGCCTCTGTGTTAGGATAATTAAATAATATTTCGTTTTAAATATAATTAGTTGTCACGAATGATTTGACGAAAACAAATGTTTGCCTTCGTTAAATATTACACGTTCTAACTTACGATCAAATGGGTACGTACTACTACTACTACTACTACGAAAAATCGAAAAAATATAAAACAGTATGAAAAATATTCACCCGATAGAAAAATGATATTGCTGGAACATGATCGTTTCAAATGGCTTTGCTTCTAGCCAACTTCTGTCACGCGGACGACGAGGAAGGTAACGATTAAAAATGTGGAACGAGTACCTATACAAGATGCTCATTTCATAAATTTACAATATTTCATATTATTGAGAGCTTTTCTTTTTAGCGTTGATTCGTCTAACTGTGCGAACTTGATTTTTATTTGTTCTCTATCTTTCTCTCTCTCTCTTTTTTTCTCTCTCTCTATTCTTTCTCTCTTTCTTGTTTTATTTATCAAGGCAAAGAACATTGCGTTTATTTGATTAATATGTGGTACAAACAAGATAAGGTACACAAAAGAACATTCACATAACTTTTAAGAAAATTTACTATTACGTATATACCTTTGTGTTTGGTTTAGCTTTGGTAGCGTCGCTTGTAGTAAATCCTATGTTCAGAAACACACTCTCGTCTAGTTTACATCTAAATCTTTGACGATAAAAAAGGTTAGGTAAATTTCGTATATGTGGGATAGACGTGCAATACCGTTTACCTTATACCATTTCAATATCCGAGTTTATCTCACGAGATGCATAGTGCATATTCTATTTCGAGTGTTCCTATGTGATTCTCGATTTGTATTTTACAATTAGATGGAAACTAGAACGATACTTTATACAACATTTCATTATTATAACTTTTATTTATTTAAATGTTATACATAACTCAATAGACTTTAACGCATAGTTTAATGCTGTAATTAATTCTATGTTTCTAGTGGTGGGACGAGGTCATGGACATATTTGACGGGGTACGCCATTTTTATACTTAAGAGAAATTATGTAAGGCCTATCACTTTATAACTTTCCTTTCTATTTTCCTTGGGGTTTTTCTTCTTACTATTTTTTCTTTCTCTATCTCTCTCTCTCTTTCTCTCTCTATTCATTACTTTTCGCATATTGAATACATAACGAGAGTAATAATACCGTTAAGAACTAAGTGTTCCGAAGAAAAGGAAATCTCATATAAAAGAGATTTCAACCTTTTATTGGAGTTGAAGTTATTCCATTATCTCGTCTGTGTTATCTAACTTGAAAGCAAAAACTCTGCTTGCTTTAACGATCGAATCGCAACTGGATTAAAGATATTAAAGTAGTATATTATTTTAGTAGCTTTTTATTTAATTGCAAAAAGAAAAGAAAAAGAAAAGAAAACATATTAATATTAATGACAAAATGAATGCAAAGTGTTTAACAAGAATAATGTAATTAATCGTTAAAAATGCTTTCCAAATTTAACATCATCTTCTTTTCCCGTTAATTCGTAAAAATTCTCACGTTCTCGTGTCTCGTTAGATTCGATTTCAAGTATATTTTATTCATTCTCTCTCTTTCATTTTACAATCAATAAATCTTTTCATCTTCAATACCGACTATCATACACTTCGCACCTGTGGTTTCACTGTGCACAATTTTCCCGTCTATTGTCTTCTCTGTTAGGAAACAAAAAAAAAACAATAATCTGATTCGAATATGGATCTTCTCGTGGAAGTCCAATAGATTCCCCTCGTTTTGGATTTAGACACTTATCTCGGATATTTTTATATGAGTACGTAATTCACTATGTATGCATATATACATGTATCACGATTATAATGTTGATACGTGTGTATATTATTTGGTGTTATGTCCGCTCTAAACGTAACCATTTCGCTTTCGGATCGCTTTTTCCTGATCCTTACGATAAATACCATTCTACTTACCACCACTACCATTACCAAAACCACTACTACCACCACCATTACCAACACCACTGTCAATACCATCCACCATGACTGTTAATCGCGACGATCGGACAGTGGCTGGACGAAAACGGATGTCTTCAGGAGAATTATCCAAAGGGTCAAGTTGGTGCTTGCGGACGTCCGAGTCAACAACGTGTATTGAGCCTTTCCTACAGACCGGAACCTAGTCAGAACGTAAGAGAACCTTGGCTATGTGGCTCGAAAAGTCAGCTCGAGATCGGCCCGAGGACCTTATCCTCCTCACGGCCGATCAAGCATGGAGAGTCTGAATCTACTCGGCAGCATGTACTTCTGCGTCAGCAACAGCAACAGCAACAACAACAGCAGCAACAGCAACATCGTTCGAAGATCGTTCTTGATCGTACCGGCAAATCGATGAAACAATTCGACGAGAAGGAGACAACAACGATCAGTGTTCGGCCGATCGAGGATCGTATAATCCGACCTTTGGAAAGAAGCAACGATTGTTGTTGGCATGCAGCTACTGGCAGCATGTTGGATGGAAGATCGAAGAGCTTCGTATTACCGGACCGTTGTCCTCGGCGATCTTCTTCACCTCAGAACGTAGATCGTTTCAGCTTTCTCCGAACGATCGTTCCCATTGGCACTCGCACTAATCATCATCATCATCATCACCTTCATCATCATCAACAACAACAACAACAACAACAGCAACAACAACAGCAACAACTACAACAGCAGCAGCAACAGCAGCAGCACTATTACCATCATCATCATCATCATCACCAGCATCATCAACTATTGAATAATAATAATAACAGTAACAACAATAACAACAGCGATCGAGAGCTAGACGAAAACGATGACAACAACGATGACCGTCATCACCGTTATCACAACCATCATCTCCACCATCATCATTATCACCAACGCGTACCACCGCCTTCTTCTTCATCTTCTACTGCTTCTTCTTCTACTACTTCTACTACTGGCACTGCCATCGCTACTACTGCAAGCACTACCACTACTGCTGACGTTGTTACTACTACTATTACTACCACTACTACTTCTACTACTACTACTACTTCTTCTTCTGCTACTGCTACTACTACTACTACTACTTCTATTTCCAGCACCGATCATCTCACGCTACCATCACCATCACCAACGACACCTTCTTCCGTTAACGTCGCCAACGTTCTGGGCGCATCTTCTGCGCCGGCTTCACGGGTTAGAGGCTTTAACGTCATTGACAAGTAGACTTGCACGATGACGTTTCTACTTTTGTCTCTATATTTCTCTTCTTTCTTTCTTTCTTTCTTACTTTTCTATCTCTCTTCGTGTTTACTCGTAGATGGATGCATACTTTCATGGTTAAAAAGTCATTACTGGAAGTTTACTATCAAGGTCATTGCATTATGTATGAGCCGATAAACTATTGGATAAGGACGGTAATTTCTATTTTCATGTCTTTCATTTCTCATGCGAGCCAAAGAAAAATAAGTAGAAATTGATGTTAGATATATATATATTTATTCATAGTGGTCTTTTCTTTCATATATTAAAACAATGTGGTCAAAAACTCACACGAGTTAAGCTCTATATAAAATCATTTCTAATAAATTATATTTCATTTGTATTCGTATACAATTGTTGCCATTTCTTTTTTTTTTTTTTTTTAACCATATATGTCTGAACTTTAATTTTTCTTCACAATAAATCTTTTACGTAAATTTTTACGATCAATAATAATTCATACAACGATAAAATTCAATGAAATCTTAAGGACAGTTTATTAAGTTTTCTCGTTAAAAATAGAATAAATTTGATCGATATTAACATTCGTCGAAATTTTTGCGTTATCGTTGTCTCTATTTCAACCCTCCCTCTACTTTCTTTATGCGTTTCCTTTCAAACGTTAGCGCTAGTTCGTTCGCTTTTATTCCTTATTCGTATCTTCCGAGCTATGCTTTTATATGCGATATAGAATGAATGTGGTAGCATGTTTCCACGATCAAATTTATGAGAGAAACTATTCGGAAAAGGTATTCACCGATTCGAGGAAATACGTATTTGATATTTTCTACGGTAGTATGTAAATAATATATATATACAGTAGCATAATACCATAATGTATTCGTGATTTTCTATTTATGTATGTAATCGATTTACAATATTGCTACGTGCTGCCTTGTGTGATACTAAATGTTTAATGTCTGCGCATTAATATACCGCATAATAATATATTACATATATCGACGTAATACATGAATGTGTATGCATTATATCATTAATCATAAGCGTGTATACGTAATTTTTACTTTTCATATGTCGGAAGCATTATTTCGATATATACGAGGCATGTTTATTATAACAAGCTGCATATGTTTCCAAATGAAAATTAAAAAATAAAAAAAAAACAAAACGTATGGAATCAATTAGATTGATATTAATCCTTTTTTTGATTTCAGCAGTTCGATCAACGTAATGCTCAAGCAGGAAAACCTTACATGTCTCAGTAAGTATATTTTTAACAAAACAAAGAAAATAATGAAAATTATTATCAGGGGTATCAAAAAATGTGTGTGTATACATTTTCATGAAATAAAATAAGTATATTTAATCAATGATATTATATATTATATATAATTATCATCGTCATTTTCATAATTAATTCATTTGATATTACAATTAATTCATAATTTAAATTAACAATTCACATATTATATTGTAATAATGTAAAATGGAAATTAGGTACATTTTCTGATACTCTTAATATGTCAAACTTGTATAAGAATATTTTCATTCTGTTGTTGTTTTAAAGTGCTTTTAAGGAATCAGGATACGAAAGCGATTCGACGTTGGTATTTCGACGACGAGAGGACATCAGTCCACTAAGTCTCTTGGAACAAAGATTGGCTTACAAAAGCGTGCAAAGTGGCGGTGACGTGCCTCTACATGGTCTTCGTAAACCAGCCCCAGAACGACCAAAGGGTGAGTCACCATAGGAAAAGATTTAATTCGCTGACTATGATTTTCTGTTTGTTATATTTTAGATTAATTTGATGTGTATTTGAAACACGAAGCCTATCTTTTTCTGTGTAATCAGGCATGCTGGCATACGTTTTGTACTATTACTATTACTACTATTACTACTACTATTATTACAACAGCTATTATCGACTCATGCATTATATTTTTATTTTGTCTTGCTATCGCTGAGCTAATGTCGCTAAATATTTTCAATCGTTTATTCACATTAATGCATGTTCATCGTAGCTGAACATTTCAAATCCGAAAAAACTATCTCTATCCAATTATATTGGGATTCATTTTTAGATATATAATAAAAAGATAAGAATATAGGTGATCCTTTATCGTTATCGTATCATATCAAAATTTTGATAGTTATTCTGAAGCATAATAAAAGTTGGAAACGTATATTATTTATCATTTCAAAAACAATTTCTAGTCAAAGTTATCAGCATGGTTTATATTCCTCCAGCATGTCGCTAGAAATTATTATTCAGCTTGGTTATGCATACTTTTATCTCGTTATATTTTTTTCTTTTGTTTGTTTCTCATTCTTTATAATACACTCTAAATAAAAAAAAAAAAATAAAAAGTAAAAAAGAATATATAGACACGCAGCACTGCTAATGTACACAAATTTATTTATCGATATTGGTGTGTTACACACTCTTAAATCTTATTTAATTTTATTTTCCTTATCTATATCTATCTAAATCTATTTCTCTCTTTCTCTCTCTCTCTCTCTATTTTGTTTTCTTAATTATTATAACGCACATATAAGGAAGTATTTAAAAGGAGAAGAGGATTTTCGATTTTCACGTTTTGGCACGCTAAACGATGTCGAACAAAAAAAAAAAGAAAAAAAAAATATCGTCATCGCTCTCAAGCTTGCATACAAATGAGAGGAACTTTTTTTCACAAACTTCTGGTGAACGGTAATATGGCTTTTGGAAAATATAAACGGGGGAAAAAGTAATGAAAAGAAAAAAGAAAACAAAAAAGATCGAAACTTTGTCCACAGACGATTCGGAGATCGAATATTTCCCGATTTCGCCGACCTTGACAAGGATTCGTATTCATCGTAAGAATCGCACGACATCATCGGGAATAAACGGATCTTCCTCGTCGATATTATTTTCCGAATGCAAACGATCGGCACCTTCGTTGGCGTCGACGATCATTCATAATCCGATCATGAAAACAGGAACTGCCAAATCAAGTGGTTACCGATCGAGTTGTTCCTCTTCTATTAAAAACATCGATAATCAATCTGGATCAAGAACGAATTATTCACGATTAACGAGTACTTTTTCTAGACCACCTTCTCCGCCTAGAAGAAAATCATCGAAGAACAACGAGACGTTGAAAAATTATTACAAAAACGTTACTACAATCGAGGATCATCGTCATCATAATTATCAATCTTCTAATACAAGACATTTACAGTGTTTCAATCCGGAAAGAGTTTCGGATATTCGTATTTTGAGAGAAAGATTGTGCAGTAATCTGGAGAAACATAGAAAATCGCGAGAACGTCAAAGTTCGAAAATCGGAAGAAGTGGTGGTCATCCGTCGAGTCCGATCACCAATAAAGGAAGAGGCAAAATTTCTCAAAGTTCTGTAACGAATTTTGATAGAAGTATTCGTACCAATTTACCGCGTAGCCTTTCGGAAAGTAACGCCACGAGAAAGGAGGGTACATTTTCATCGGATAAAGTAAAAAATCGATTATCGATATCTTCGAGTCCGTTGTCGGTTACCAACGGAAAATCACTTTCGGTTAAATCCGAATTGTCGAAAAGAAAACAAGAATCTATCGATTCGAAAGAAATAATATCATCCCGCGTAGAAGAAGAATCATCGTCGCAAGTTTTTAAAAAGGATAATCCGAGAGGAGGTCGTCTTACAAAAAAGGAACAGGAAGAATCTTGCAAGAGATTAAGCAGATCCTACGCTGACATTTCATCGTCTTTTACGGAAAGTAAGAAAAATTTGTCCAAGGAAAAAGATATCAAAGGTAAAATTATTCCTACGGAAAGATTTTTAACGAGTTCCGCGACTTTGTATTCTTCTCGTACGATAACGGATAAAGAAAAAGGTATTATAGATAATAAAGCTTTGAAGGTTGTACTAGCGATATCGTCGAAGGGCCAAGAAACTTGTCGAAAAATCGAATCGCAATCGTCGAAACATTCGACGTCGAAAATTGATTCGAAGAATTCTTCGTCGAGTCGCAAATCAACGACGATCCCCGTTCAAATTTCAAAATCAAAGTCAAAGGCTACGAAGCAATCGGATCGTTCGTCTAAACAAAATATTCCAATAACTATCGTTTCTACGCCGTCTACGGGAATCATTGAGAGTAATGATAAGAAGAAAAGATCCAAAGAGAAAGCACGAGTGATCGTTAAGAGACCCGACAATAGTAAAGGAGAAACTGCACGAACGATTACGGATAAAGATATTTCAAAATTCGATACGAAAAAGAAATTACGAAAGGATAAAGTCAAAATTAACGGTGACGGTACGATTAACAAAAGGATGGATAAGAAAGGTAAAAAAATTGTCGACAAATTGAACGACAAATCTAAAACGATCAAACGAATAGACGTTGATAATTCGAGTGTACGTAGTTTAACTATGACCGAGATTAAGAAACAACATCGGGACAGTGGTGAAACATTTTTCCAACATTTGTTTTTGAGAAATGTATTATCATCTCCGACGGTGTTATCGCAGCAACCTTCTGAAATCGATAAGAAAAGATCCTTCGTTTACGAGCGTAGGAAAATGCTCGAGAGTAACGAAAGAAGAAGGACAAGCAAGTCCGAGCCATCTTTGAAATCATTGAGCGTATATTTGTCACAAAAGAGGCCTGTTTCCAACTCGAGATTTAAGAATTTCGATCGGGAAAGTTTATCATCGAGAAGTACGAGTCCCTGTGGCGTAAGTTGGCCAGGTCGGTCTATCTTTCAAAAAATCACTAAATTCGATAGTCTTTTACGGGTCGACGATGAATTTGGCTCATCGACGATGTTATCGCGTGGTCGAAGTCCAGATTTTATGAGGGACGGTATCGTCGTCATCAAAGAGAGAAGAAGCTCGAGCGAGCCACCGTTAAAAACGGTGCATATCGAAAAATCAAAAGACGAAACGACAACGTCACGAACATCGTCACCTTCGCCGATCAGACCGCCAACACCGCAACGTCGTAGTTTGATCTTGAAAGATAATCGAGATGGTTCGATGAACAAAAAATTTCGTGCAAGAAGCGCAGGGGAAGCCGAAGATTCGCGAACAAAATTATCTTCTTTAGGATCGAATACTTCGATCGCTAAAAGTATTAGTTCGTTGTGTCCGTCAACGATAGATCGCGAAGATTATCAACAATACGTTCTCGAATTATTGCATTACAAGAGAACTAGATGCGACAAGTACAAAGCTTTGTACGATTTTTATTCCAGTTTGGAAAGAATGGGCCAACTTGAAAGAAGAACGACGACTTCTTCGTCATCGGGAGATCTCAGGCCTAGAATGAAAAACGAAGAGATCATAGATTACGACAGATGGAAAGAAATAAGATCGAAGGAAAAAGCGGAATGCGAGCTTAGTTCGCTTTACGGTAAATTGAAAGCCGTCCAAAAGGACAAAGATTTTGTATTCAGTACCAAAGATTTAGAGAAATTTAAATGGCGCGGCGACTGTGGTCTTAGATGCAAGGAACGTTCGGTCGAAAATATTTTGAAATATTTTGAAAAATTAGAAAACGAGCAAACCGAATTGGTCTCGTCGAAAAAACGAGAAATAGCTTCGAGAAAGGACGTCTACAAACCTTTATGGCGTGGTAGTTCGGTGGTCAACGTAGCTAACACTATGGAAAAAAAGGCAAATGAAAAACGTGACTTTGAGAAAATATCATCGGAACGTCATCGAACGTCATGGCAAAAGGATCTTGGTTGTAGTAAAAAATTTTGGAGCAGTTTAACGATAGAACAAGTAAACGCTTTGAAGAATCAATTGAACGATATCTACGGTAGCGAAGAAACAAAGTCACGAATGTCTAGACGCGATCGAGCAAATATCGTGGAATTATCTCAGGAACATTTTTCTAAGAAGAAAGATGACGACAAATGTGAGATGATATCGTCAAAGTACGAGATCGTTGTTGACGATTTTCAAGAGGATGATGGTAAAGGTTTACACGTTCGATGTCATTCTATGATAACTCCTGACGAATCTACGAGTACTTTGAAATATTCCGGTACGGAAAGTTCGAGCTTGAAAAGGAGAGGCTCGATAGGTCGAGGAAAAAGTACCGATAGGTCGGAATTCAATAATTTCGTATTTCGTGATTCACTTATGACGGAATTGGAAAAGAAGAGATTGTCTTTGACGCTTGGAAAGGAAGTTCTGGATAAAGTAACTCGTAGAAGATCGTCCTCGGCACCCATAGCACCTAGGGAAACTCGTGGTGCTATAGCAGCGGCCATGGCAAACACGAAAACTATTTCGAATATGATGAACGTCAGTAGTACGCCAAATTTATCTTCGGCGCCGAGTGTTACAAACACTTCGCCTAGAACGTGTTACTCCTTGGAAGTGTCTTACGAGGATAATTCGAAAAAGGAAAAGAACGATTTTCTATTGGTTCTAGCACCGAACGAAGAAGATATTACGAAGGAAAAGGAAAAAATAGAAAATGTTTTTGAAGAATGGTCGAGAAAGACGGTGTCACCGCCGCCGCCGCTGCCGCCGCCGCTGCCACCCCCAGTATCGTCGTCTATCGTTCAAATTGATAATAATAATATACCTAAGTGTAAAATATTATCAACAACATCGGGAAGCGAAATGGATAGCACGAGTTCGGACACATCGGTAAAAACGGTTGTCAAACGAAATATCATTCAGATGGAAGACGTACCCAAAAAGATCGAATTTTTCGAAAAGATCGATGCGAAACAACAGGAATCGAAGAATACGGATAAATCGAAGATTTCAAGATTATCCTCGTCTCAGAGTTTCGCTGATTTAAAGGAATTGTTCGGCGAATCGGAAATAGTTCGATATTCGAGTAACATACCACTGTACAGTACGAAATCAACATCCTCGGATAGAACGTTTGAAGAAAGATCAGAAGATTTGCAAGAATTCGGTGACTTTGATAAAAATGAATTTTGTATTGGATCCATTACGCCCGATGAATTCGGTGATTTCGAAATAAAAAAAGAAGATCGAAGTCAAGTGGGGGAAAAAACGGAAGATGTAGTAAAAGATAGGAAGGAGAATGTTACGAAGGTTGTATCGAAGAAACAGGAAGGAAAAAAGGTGTCATTGTCGAAAGAATCGATCGATCAGGATAATACAGCTTTGTGTTCGACAGAGAGGAAGAAACGAGGCAAGACCGGTGGACTTCCTGCGGAAGTAGACACGCGACAGTCGGTTCAACGTTGTTTATGGGAGCGTGAACGCGATTCGAGACCAGAAAGCATCAGTCCATGTCGAGGTACGACGCGTTCTAACTCATCGTCGTGCAGTGTCGAGAGTATATTCCAACGTGGCTCATCGCCCGATCCGGAAAGATATTGGCGTGCTTATTTGAAATTGGTTAAAAACGGTACCGTGAGAAAATTGTGTGACAGATTCGAGACCAGTTGGGAGGATTTAAATTCGTCTAAAAAATACGTGACCAATAGTCGTCCGAAAAGATTTCAAAGCGATCCGGAATTGGCCAGGAACGTTTTGAAAAAGATCGATCAGAGTAAAACGACCTTGAAACCGCAAGAATATTCGGATGTCAGTTGGTTGCGCAAAAAATACGAATCTAGGAGAGGGAGGACGAGACGTAGGGGGGAATCACCACCGATACCACGGGTACCATTGAGATTGGATACTTTATCGATGCCGCATATCGACGTTATTAGTAAAATGGCAGAGCTTAAGGATTCTTCCGTTAGTTCGAATAAAGTAACCAATTCCGTGGCGAGGAAAGCTGAAACCAAAGAACTGGCTGCTAGAAGACCGGTCGAGAAGATCATAAAAAAGTTCGAGGATCCAGAAAGGAAAGGGAAAACATCGATTCTGGGAGAAATGTTCACGTCCGCCCCCGACGTTCGCGAATTGAGGGACATCACGCCTTATCTTGCCGGCAGATGGGTGGCTCATAGGTAGCGATGGTACTTGAAATCCGGCTCCCGTCAATTATCAATTAGATGATATTATCGATTTACCTTAAGGACTTACATCAATTTTCATTTTATAATTTATTTAACATTAATGACATATTGATATATGAGTCGTTCGGGAATCAAAACGATTAAATCCACTTGTAGAATTTGATATAATTTTACTATCCAGTCACAACAATTGATCGATACTTCATTTTATATTATTAATCACATTCGTTATTACGCATCGCGTATATATTATTGGCCGGTTCGTTTCGAATTTCGCATATATGTGACATCGTTGATTGGCCATTTGCAATTTATAGAACGAATCAATTATCTATTTCGTCCGGTGTTACGTATATTTCATATTTGTATAGAATACTTTTTTATGTCCTTGTAATTTATATGTAGATAAATAATTATTTGCAACGCGTACCGTGTAAAACACAACTGCAAATGACCCTATTACGTGGCGGTGGTTTTTCCAATTAGATCGCGGTAGCAAAAATGTTCGAATAAATTTTCTTAATAATTACGTTTAACGCCGCTCGTTGCTATAATTTTTTTTTATAAAAATATTTACTATATAATTATCAATTTTTGTGGAGTTAATCGATTTGTGCAAATGAGTGATTTATTTCCCGATGTCATTCCTTAACGTTTATATCGTCTAATCGATTAATAATAATATTAAAAAAAAAGAGAAATATATTTGTAAAAATGTATCCTATAAGAATATATTTGAAAAGAATTTCTCACATAGGAAAAAATAAGTGAAAGTTCCATCGCTGTTCGCTTGCATTCAGGTATCCAAGTAGAAGAGATAATATGCGTTCATTGTCATCACCGCCCAGCCTTGAAAATCGAAATTCACGTAATAATGATGAAACGATCGCGAGTTCGTCGAAAGATTCGAATGATTCGAAAGATATTATCTTATCGTGCGAGAAAAGAAAATTGGAGGAACGTCGTGAAAATTTGACCAGGAAGATAACACGACCGTCCGCATCGATTTTGAAGCACAAGGACATTTTTGCAAATCAAGAATTCGATCCAAGCAAACATAGACCGAGATTTAGATATCAACCACCACCCCCGCCACCTTCACCGATCGTTAAACGGGAAGCCAAGTTTTGGTTACCACCGTTGCCAACCTACACTGCTCGACCTACCGTCAGTTTCGAAGGTCTGCCGCTTAAATTTATACTTCAAACAACATTAAACTTTTATTAACTTGTCTCGATTTATTATATTATATGTTCTTTGCAATTTTCTAAGTAGACTATATTGACAAATTTTTGTTGTTTCTTTTTTGTTTTTTTGTTTTTTTATTGAATTACACATTTATCAATTTATATTTGTATATTACGAATTAATCTTATTATCGAATAAATCGTAAAAATTAATTTAAAAAAAAAAAAAAAAATTAGTATCAAGTATGAAAATAATTATCGGCACGTATACTGATAAAAATTCGCGCGTTAAATTATTTTCATTAATTTATCAAATATCAATCAAATTATTATTTTTATATTGATATTTCGTTCAAATGGGTACAAAACCGCCAATATCGATAAGTATCAGATAAAAAAAAAAAGCACGTGCTGTGTGAATATCGTAATAATCATTATCGTATTTCCGTGTCTCAGCAGTTCTTTCGTTGTTCGTTGTAGCGTTATTAGGGCTAATTATTATTTTCATTATTTTTTGTGTCTGCTGAACCAATAGAATACTCGAACGCACCTCCGCCACCACCAAAGTCACAGCATTGCAGAGACGAGCGTCAAGGTAATGCCACAACATGCTAATTTATGTGTTTTTTATTTTTATTATTATTATTATTATTACTATTATTTTAAGTAATCCCTTGGCCGATTAATTGAACGATAGTGAGCATCAAAAATTCATCGTAAATTATTAAAAATGCATGTTTCTGGTTTTACAAATGAATATTGACCAAACGAATTTGTAATAATAATTTATTTAATCGGTTAATGATCATCATTGTTCGTTATGAATGAATTATCAAGCATGATTAGCAAGAAAGTTTTTGATAGCATGCGATACTGCATCCTTGGGAAAATCAAGAATCGAACTGTTGGCTGGTTGAGTTCGAGTAATTAACACGAAACTTTCCTAAAATTAACTCGCTCTTTCGACTCGTAATAGAACGTTGTTATAGAATATCTGCTAATAAATTTCTAGTTAAATCTCCGATCATAAATAGTTCTTTGATATTTTTCCATTTTTATGGAAATATAAAAATGAAGTTTTTTTTTTTAACATCGATTCAATTTGAAACGTTTTCCGTTTAATTATTCCAATTAAATACCCAACGAAAATATCCCTAATCGGAGATATTAAAAGGGAAGATAAACCTTACGAAGTAGACCATAGTAGTCGTCGTAGAAGCGATAACAATTTTCAGAGAATCCTACTTTGCCCTTTTGGCTTATTTTCTGTTTAATTTCATTTATGTTAGGAACTTAAGTGAACGTTTCATTAAAACCAGTGAACGTTGTCTCCGGTAGAAATTTCATATTAAATTTAACACGTTATTAGAGATCAGATATACGTAGAAAACTAGAAGAAACATATGCTACGAGGGGGTTTAAATAGATAATATACAACAGCTTTGCGTTCTTGTTACGTTTTCTCGTAGTCATCGTTGGAAATAATATAAAATAAATAATAAATGCGATATTCGTTTCTAGCAAATTCGAACGTTTACGAGTGGATTAGTAGAATGGTCAAAGAATAAAAAAAAAAGGGGAACAAATCTTTATCAAAGATTGGAAAGCAATCTATAAGATAATGATGTTACTTTAATTATACGTATGTGATGATAACCCAAACAAAATCGCATCATTTACAATGAATAGATTTAGAAAAAAGAAACATGAAACTATAAATAACGATCAATTACTCCAGTATACGTCGAGATTATAACAGGTTGTATTTCGTGGCAGTATGTCAGAAAGAAACGGTACATCGTTTGATTAAATTATACGGTACATCATTGACATCGCTACGTGACAATACAAGTCTCGTCGCAATAGTTCGTCTTATGGTTTAATAATGTAAAGAGCCTTCTTATTATGTTACCGTTATGTAATTAGAACAACCGAATACCACTTTAGACGAGTCGAGTTGGAATTGACCTTGACTGCAACGAGCGATAAGCGAAAGAAAGTATCATTGGATACGATCGAGTATGTTGTTGACAAAAAAAAAAAAAAAATTGGTCGAATAAATCGAACGATTAAAAAATTTCATCGTGTATTAATTTGCGTCATCTTATGGTAACAATTCTTTAAACGGTAATAGTATGATATTATAAATGAATTACGATTAAGGGATAATTAAATTATAGAGAACTGGTTTCAAAAAAGGTATCTTTAAGTAAAACAAAAAAAGAAAAGCAAAAAAAATCGTAGAGAAGATAGGAACACTCGTACGTGTTCGATGTAATTGTATTATCTAATCTTGTACGATTATTAAACACCATTGAGTTTATGGTGCAGTTAGTTGTCTACGGTCTATAACAGTACGCGAGCTTAAGTCGGTTTCAAAAAAAAAAAAAAATAAAAAAAAAAAGAAAGAAAAGAAAAGAAATGTTCAACCTTGATAATACGAAAATAGTTGCGGTGTGATTTTACAGAAATAACTACTGGGAATGAATGAACAAAGATATAATATTCCGTTCAGGGTTCTATAATGTTATATTTATTATTTCATAGTTGTAAATAATCTTAACAATATAATATATTCTATTAAATTCAACATTTTTTTCTGTTATTAATTAAAAAGTAACATTATTTAAAATAGATTATATCGTTTGGCGGTGTGGCTTAAGATAGCACAATGTTCATATCATCATCATCATCATCATCATCATCAAAAATACTTCATAGTTATATACATTAGCGATACGCGTATCTGCTTATTTGCCAAACGATAGATTTTTAAAGATTGAAATTAATACGAGCTCGTACGTAAGACGAATGTTCTCTTTTTAACCTGTGCTATTGTTTAACACATAATGATTTCGATGTTTGTTTTTGTTTTCAAGTTAAAGTTAACTTTAACGTTAGTTAGCAAAAACGAACGATTATTATTATTATTATTATTATTATTGTTACGTTTAAACGTTTTAGTTAGTCGGATATTTTTCAAAAGCGATTAATGTTTAGCGGTCGTGTGAATAACGCTTAAACTTGAACGATGTTAGTGGGTGGGTGGGGGCGGGGGTTAGGGAGATGGTGAAGGGGGAAAGGGGGGTGTGAAAACACGATCGTCGGACCGGCAAAAGGATCAGACGTACCGCGCGCGTCTTACACGTAACACAATCTTGCGTCTGCGTAGAATATTTCGAATATGTTTAACTTCGAAATAACATATTGAATCAAATTTTTGTTGAATTCAATTATTTCAATCGTACGCGGTCGTTTTCGTAGTAAGTGTATATTATTCAAATGCGCGAGTGTTCTTTCGAAATAAAAAGAAATATTCAATCGAGCGCGTGTAAAATAAGTGCATAAATGTGCAAATAATTGGAAATTTGTTGCAATACAATTTTTACATGATAGAAAATGTTTTTTTCTGTTTTTTTCTTTTGTTTTGTTGACAATAGTAACAATACGAATATAATAAATATCTTTTTATGATATATTTATGTGAAATATATTTTTGACTGGAAAAAAATAACTTATTGAAAGATAATTTATTTATATTCTTCCAGTTTGTATTTTATCTTTTTTTAATTATTTCAAGTGTATAATCTCACAAATTCGAAGTAAACATGTGTATATATATATTCAAATGTTCGTTGTATAATACTCAAATGCATGCTAAGTAAAAAATAGATAAGTTACTGTAATGAAATTTGACAAAATAGATCGAGCTCATACGAATTGTAATAAATGACGTTCACTTTCGTAACGAAACGGTAAAAATCGTGAAGAATACGTACGCGACATGCGCAGTTAGAGTTTTAAGTGGAAGATAATCGCGCGAGTACGACGACGTACGGCCAATTGATAATCGCACGCTCCGTTCGCGCGTTCTTTTGCAAATGCATTACGTGTTGTGAGACAACTGACACATATTCGCAAATACGGCTATACCTGTACGTGATACGTTTCCGCTCGAATGCTCTTCCAATAAAAGAAATAATGATCATTATAAATTTTTTTGTATAATATAAATATATGTATATTCGATTTCGTAATCGATTCTATTTTTATAAACGAATGTTTACTCGTAATATCATATTGCAATGAAATAGAAAAAGAAATATTCGTTAAATTTCTTTAATTTCAAGTATAATAACACTTACATACAAATTAATTTTTGATTAATACTCACTCAATGATTCACTTTTTTTTTTTATTGTTACTTTCACGAAGAAAATAATATGTTGGTTCGTTTAAACACAATAAGACAATAGTATTCGTCAATTTTTGAAATGAAATATTAATTAAAAACAAAAACATGACACCAAATCAACGTAATAAAGAAAAATCATAAAATACAAAGTTTCACGTATCGTGATGGTCATCATTTATGTTTGATTGCAAAGAGAGAGAGAGAGAGAGAGAGGAAGAATTATTAAAGTGCAAGTAGGCAACTTTCTCGCGAGGGAATATAAACAAAGGGAATAGTGCATCGTTTGGTGTTTCAACGTCAGATCTTTCTCGATAGAAGGAGGCCTGCGAACGTCTCTTCTCTTCTTGATTCAGACAACAACGAACGTCATTGTTGTTTTTCGGCTTGTTCTTCTTGTAAATTGCGGATTTCCACGGGAAACAACGATCGGTGTGAAAGCGCGAAAGTCTTACACAGGAATTAATATTGCATTCTATGCAATATTTCGTTTATTAAACATCGAGAACTATAATAATAGCATCATTTACCGGGCTTTCGTTAATTAAACAAAAATTTTATAATTAAATTAGTAATTATAACGTATAGGGGTAATTGATTTGTTTTCATTTTAATATTCTCTCCTAATATCTATGATAAATATCAATCTTAAATTCGGTCAGAAAATTTGTTGTTCATTTCACGTATCATGACATAAACGTAATTAATTAATTAATTAATTAAGTTAGACTCTGGGTTACGGTAAAAGGTGGAGAACGGTGAAACTTATTTCCGGCAGGTTTTGCTTCGCGCTCTATACTCCTAGTGTCGAAGTTTTGCAAAAGTGAAATTTATCGTTGGCATGAGTTAACATCGTTATTATTATTATTATTATTATTATTATCATTATCATTGATTCGCTTTCAAAGCGTAGTACCCAACTCGGCAAGTGTTACAATTTCACAATACTTTGTTCTAACTATTACGGTGTAATACGAATTGCAACGTTAAGTCAATTTCATTTCTTATTTGTGAATAAAACTTTATTCGTTAAAATTATAATTACGTTGATGGGTATATAAAAAATCATAGACGAGCTTGAGTAAAGATTAAATATCAAAAGTTGTTTCGTAGAAGTAACATATAAGGTTTCGTTTCTTGGTCAATTCACAATTGCCTTTGGTTAGTCTCAAGAGAAACGTTTATGTCATATAAATTCATGGTTTCTCTAAAAGAACTAAATTCACCGCGTATTTAAACAAACCTCCGAGTAATAGACAATTCTGTTTTTCTATAAAGATTTCTTTTTTAATTCGTCTTCGTGCGATTATCTTGAAAAATCGCTGAAGAAGAAATACGAAAAAACGAAAAAAGAAAACGAAGTAAAGATTTAAATCGAATACGAAAACAACTTCCGGATAGATAGATAAACAATCTTTTTAAAAGCGAACTCGAGAAGCGTAAACTTCGATGGAAATATTTGTTTCGCCATAAACAATCTGTAATCCTTGTATTTTATTAATAAAAAAAAAAGAAAATTTATTTTTTTATTATAACGTTATTAATAATTATTAACTTAATTTCACTTCGTCAGTTTAGAACTCTTTGAGTTGAGATAATTCTAATTAGAATAAAATCTATCTATTATAAAAAGAAACATTTGGAGGTATGTAAAAAAAAAAACTGATGACATAAGGGTCAGTGATGAGAAACGAGCTCGATCTATCTCGTCCGATAATTTTGCTTTGTTCGTTTTCTCGGCCTGTTTATTCCGACCATTTGAAGATTATTTTACAAAAGAGTTTAAGAGAGATAAGAACTCATCGGTAGTAGAAATGTTCTCGATTACGATAAATAATAAATTACGATAAATAATCTTTCTTTCTTTTTTTTTCGACAAAGATACCGATTATTTATCTTCTAATTAATTAAAACGTAGAATATAATATTCGATATAATCTTCATAAATATTTTATTGTAGAAACTTCCAAAGAAAAAAAAAGAAACAATCGTAGGTTACATCCAAGAGTGTAATCAAAGTTACAATTGTAAATCGAGAACGAATTTTCAAGGAACAATAAGAAGAAAGTGATGAAATTATTGTAAACGTTATGTTGCCACGCGTAGAGGATCTCGAACGTAGTCCACAATGGACCAGTTTGGCTAGTGACATAAATAATCTCGAAAGGATTTCTTATTCGCGAAATCCGATGTTTTTGATGAGAACCAGACAATATGAGAAACGAACCTGCCACAGGCATTCTATGCCTGAAATACAAAAGGCGAAGTTAATTTCATTGAATACATTGGCCGATGAACAAAGGATCAATCCGAACACAAATGAAGAATTCGTTTATTCGAAATCACATTTGCCATACGAGGGATGGAATTGGAAACCAAAAAGCGAATTCGAGAGAATGTATTTTTACGGTGATTACAACAAAGACGATTATTATGGGCTTTCAAATTTAATTAATTCGAATGAATCGATGAACGTTTCGTATAATGTCGAGGACTTATCAAAACCTAAAATAAATTTACGATCTTACAGAGATCGTATTTATAATATTTCTCGAGAAAACGAAGAATACTCCGGTAGCAGGGAAAGACTTCATGAGATTTTCGAACACAATAGATATCTAAGAAGACAATTTTTTGGAATTACTAATACGGATAATTCGCGTAACGACGGGGATAAGAGCATTCGACGTACTTTGGATTCGGTTGGAAGTTTCAACAAGAATCTTAGAACGGAAATTTTAAGACAACCCGGTAAATTCGGTAGCACTGAAACTTTAACCAGCCAGAGTAATCAATCCTCGGTAAGCAGTATGAACGGCCGGAAATCTCGGACTAAATCAAACAGTCCGGAACTTTTGGAAGAATCGAAAATCCCTCACTTTTCTCGAATGAGAGGAGATAACGCGGTTGAATCTTCTTTCGAATACGATGACAAATTTAATAACGTTCGATTGAAAAAAAATGTCGAATTTGAAAGTAGAAACTTGGCTAATAAAGATGACTCTTTTGAAAAATATTCTCGACGTTCTCTACGACGCAACAATAGAATTGAAAATTCGACGAACGAAGTAACAACAGAAAGCGACGGTCTGAAACTATTAAATCTATTCGAATCGGAAATAGAAAATCGCAAAGAAGTTGGCAATTCGTCGCGCGAATATCAAATTTCTAACGTGGATAGATCGAAGGATGAAAGAATTCGTTGGTCAATGGGTTACAAATTCGATTGGAATCCCGAAGATTTTTGTCAGTCAATGCCAGATCTTTCGAGTCGCGATGAGAAATTATTTAACATAGCACGGATCTCGGTTAACGGTAATAAAATGGATATTCGACAAGATTCGATCAATTTTCCTGCTACTACTACGAGATCCAATTGCGATGATAATAAAAAGTATTATGCATCGTGCGTACAATTGAGCGTTCCGGATGAAAATCGATTGTACAAAAATGTATCGAGAAGAAGGATTCCACCGGCGCCGTTGGATTTACGAAATATCAACGAGAGATACGAAATGATCGAAAACTTCGATAGAAAGTATTTACAAAATTATACGGTTGACGTAGCTTTCCTTCGTGATTACGATCGGCCAATAGAGTGTCAATTGATGACCGTTGCCGAAAATACGAATCAACCAATGAATCATTTCAACAAAATCAATAACAACGGTACATTTAACAAATCCTTGAACGATCTTTCTTCTTATTGGAACGATCTGCAGTCGCCCCAGCTTGTGAACAATTACAAGAATTCGATGATCGATCTACGTAATGGAAATGATTCTACGAACGATCTATACCGATCTTCTTCACGGGTCGGTGATCAGAAAGCTTCGCTTAACTGCGAAACCACGACGAACCATTCTCCTCCTTTAGCTGATCGCGTCGGACCAATCGGTGGACCGCACTCAGGAACCGGAAACACGCTTCCCTCGGTCTACGGCCCGATTCCGTACAGTCAGTAAAACACACAAATACGTTTTCACGAACAATGAGTACATATATCTATCTATCTATCTATCTTGTATCTTCCGTATCAATGCGTGTCAGTTTAATCCCGTTATAAACGCTACTTTTTTTTGTCTTCCCCTACATTTTTCATATACGATCATACATTATACATCACGATAATTTCTGACTAAGGTTTCTCAAAGAGTGAAAGAGAATACGTTTACTTTTCTTTTCTTTTTCTTCTTTTTTTTGGCGTTCTAATAACCAAAAAAACTTATTTCGCGATAAGAAACGCGTATAAAAGTTTTGGATTCATGTTTAAGACCATCGATTATTTGAAATCTTTTATGCATGAGAAAAGGCAAAGATGTACCCCCTTCTCCCACACCCCTCTTCATCTATCTAAGTACTTTCCAAGATCGTTCGGAAACTTTTGTGTAAAACTTATATTAGATAATACCATACATATATATATGTATATGTGTATGTAGATGGTTACTTAGGAACGTTCACACAAGTTTTCTTTCTATGTCGAAGAGAAAGAGCGAGTGTTGTTACCCTCTAACAATATATTATACAATATAATCGAATGCGCTTGCGCGAACAAAATTCCCCGGCAAAATTGGCCACCAGTGACGTTCGTTTTATCAGTCGCATCATCTCCGCGCATCCAAGCGAACGTACTTACTGTAATATACGCGTAACGAATATTATATGACATATTCGCATTTTTCTTTCGTGTCATCGAACTTCTCGTTCGCGTTTTTGATTGATATCGATGAAAATAACGATTAGAGATTTTGGAAGAATAATCTTCGTCGCGCATCAATCAGTATAATATTTATTTAATTGTTTATTTAATTCGCGATATAGAGATCGTCGTTTTATTTCTTATTTTATTTTTTTTATTTTTTATTTTTTAATCTTATTATTCCATGAAAATATTTTTACGACCGTTCGTCGTTGAAACGAATTTAAAAAGTATATTTCCGATCAAATCTTATTTTTCACAATTACGTTAGAATTAGAATTTATTTTTATTTTTACTATACTATTCTATATTTTCTAATACGAATGTCTTAATGTAGTAAGGAAATGAAGTTATTTGTTGATTTTATAAAGAGACTTGAAAATTTGTATTGTCATCATCTCATATATACAATATAATACATAACATGTTGGCAGACGTTTAAATATTCATTTAAGGTATTTGCCTTATTGAGAGAGTCACGTCTTTCTCACGACATAACGAAGCCATATGTTTCCGAGTTAACTGGTTAACGAGTTACGACCTTAAAGTAGGTCATTCTGTCCTTATCTTTTGAATCCAATTTTTATTTTTTCTCTCCTAAAATTCTTACATTTAAAACATATAACGCGTAACGTTAATGTACGATTTGCAATCATAAATCTACAAAGTCATTTACTCGGGAAACAAAGAAATAAGATAGAAATAAAAAAGAAATAAATTGCAAATATCTTTCAGATTAGTTAAAGAATATGTAAAATTAGTGATTTTAATTGACAAATGTTATGACAATAGAATCACCGAGACGCTATGTGGAGGGTGAGGTGACGATTCATTATCGTTCACCAGTACGCACAGAAGCCAAAGAACAATTGAGCGAGGAAGAACTCGCAAGACGAAGCGCGGAAAACATGCGACGCGTTTATCAAGAAGAAAGACGTAGAAAATATCTTCAGGAATTGCACGATATCGATTCGAGAAGACACACTGACAATTTCATGTGAGTTTACAATAATTATCTCAATAATTACATTTAATTAACATGTCACGAATTTTCAATCGTTTACATTTTACACGTCTTTGAAAATAAGAAACACAGGTGTTACAAGGAACGTCGTATACTTGTTTTGTACCTGTGCAATATACAGATATATAAAAACTTCATTAATTAGATAACTCTTAATAAACATCTAATGAATTTAACATTGTAAATTTAATTGCAAAGAGGATGTAAGACTTAACGTCATACATGTTTCATAATAAATATATATATACTTGAACTTTACATATAATATATCAACGATACAACGTATAAATCAATCAGTTTAATACTTTGATTACATTGTTGTTATTACGTTATTTTAGACCGTCACAAAAATCTCCGATTCCGTTGAATCGTTATGACGATTTCGTGGATGATCTTAGTCACAGAAGCAGATCGCAGGAACAAACTCCTGAGCCCCGATTACTCGCAAGGGCACTTTACAATTTCGTTGGACAATCATCTCGCGAATTGACGTTTCGTCGTGGCGATATAATATTTGTCAGACGTCAGGTGGATAAAAATTGGTACGAGGGTGAACACAATGCTATGGTCGGTCTATTTCCCTTCAATTACGTCGAGGTATTGTAATTTCGTGACAATGTATAGTTATGTAACACTAATCTTGGAAATTAATTTATTGATTTAAAAAAAAATATATATATATGTGCAAATGTTTAATCCCAACAACAGATTTTACCTTACGATGGTATAAGAACGACACCGAAGAAACCGTACGAAGGACAGGCTCGTGCAAAGTTCAATTTTGTTGCTCAAACCAATCTGGAATTATCATTGGCCAAGGGTAAACTCATAAGATCGATTTATATCGTACGACGATGAGAAAATCTATTCTCCAATGTTACGTTATTTTTGTTTTAAATAATTATGATTTTTCTTTTTTATTTAGGAGAACTTGTTGTACTAACAAGAAGAGTCGACGAAAATTGGTACGAAGGTCGTATTGGTAACAGAAAAGGAATATTTCCTATTTCTTACGTCGAAGTTATAACCGAGCCTGGAGTGAGATCAGGTACAAATTTTATATTTTAAAATCGAGATATTTCATTTTGTAATATGAAAAACACACATATTTATTTTTCTTATTAATCATTCGGTGAAATGATTATGAGTGTCAGAGTGAATGGAAAAAAAAAATAATGAATGAATAAGAATAGCTCGTTATAATTATAGTCAGGAAATTGTTAAGCAAGTTCATTGATGATTGCGAAACTGAATATCTAACAAATACATTAATTATTACTTATTTATTTTCTATTCATTTATAATACGATATTATTTAGAAACTCCGGTACAAAGCAAACCAATCGCCTCTCCGGCAGCTCATAGTCTTTTAGCCAATGGCTCAGCTGGTGGAAAGATGAGTATGGGTCCTCATCATTACGTGCCGTCAATACCAGTTAACATGAACACAACCCAGCCCCATTATAATTCACTGGTGAGTGAAAAATTTCAAACGAATATTTAATCATATTTTCTTTTTTCTTTTTATTAATCTCTATTACACATTATCATCAGATTCATTTGATATACTTTTAATTAAAGCCACGAATGGGGGGAAGCAAGCTGCAGGTATCTCATATCAACGATCAATTACACATAGACACACACTCCGAACCAATACCGTAAGTTTTTTAATCAAATTCAACACTTATTTAACCCTTTGCGAACAGAGTAGCATAATGGTCAGTCTACTTTTCGCGTGTATCGCATATAATTCTTTTGATTTACGTTTAATAATTCGATTTACATGATAAATTGGTTCCCCGAAATTCATATTAATTCCAAAAAATAAATTTAACCTAATAAGTATGAAACAATATTATTTATCTTTTATTATAATAATAATGCATTAGCATTTGTCTTATCGTGTCAAACTGAAATGCAAGTGGTGTTTAAATGAATAGATTAACTTATTTGGTAGACATTTTTTCGGTTGTGTTAAAGCAGAATTGGACGCATATATAATCTAATTGATTCAAATTGATCACATATGTAGTCGTTGGTTCGTAAAGGGTTCAATGAAAATTAGGAAGAAGAGAGTATTAACGTGAGATAAATGAAAAATAATATCGATACGTTTAATTCGCCAGATATCGAGCCCTATATAACTATAGACCACAAAACGAGGACGAATTGGAATTGAAAGAAGGTGACACGGTCTACGTAATGGAAAAATGTGACGATGGGTGGTACGTTGGCTCCAGCCAGAGAACTGGCTATTTTGGCACCTTCCCAGGCAACTACGTCGAAAGATTATGAATTTGAGTAACGAGAGAGAGAAAGAGAGAGAGAGAGAGAGAGAGAAAGAGAGAGAGAGAGAGAGAGAACATCAAGAGTTTCTAATAACCAAAGAAAACCTGGCTATTGTGTTGTATTAAAAAAATAATTCTTGTTTTTTTTTTCTCTTTTTTTTCTTCTTCTTCTTCTTCTTGTTTATTCGTTCCTCCCCGCTGATTTATATTTTCCTTGGGCTCGCAAAAGAGTGTGGCAACGATTAGAAAGAAAATAATTTTATAATAGAAAACAAAATGGGAAGGATATATTAGGAACGAAACAACAGTCTTCCTGATTCCTCTCTTACGTTGTTTTAACGTTGTATATAAATAGTGTTCTTCCTATTCAAATTGTTAGTCAAAATTGTGAACTAAAGTTTAACGCGAGTCAGTTGTACGAGGGGGCAATAAATTTTTCAAGAGTATAGATATTTATATATATCGAAGCCGTAACAATCACGCATACCTATAGGATTTGTAATGTCCGAATTTTACCAAAAATTTACTATCTTAGGGCCTATTTAAAAAAAAAAAAAAAAAAAAAAAAAAAAAAAAAAAAAAAAAAAGGGCGTAATGTGTAAGTAGTGTATAATAATGATTAATAACGATTTAATAATTTATTATCTCTTATATGAGATACATTAACGTTATTCAAAAATGTATTTTGTTTTTTCTTTTTTTTTTATTATTTCACGAATAGAACAAAAGAGAGTACGAAAGAGAAATACATAATTCACTTTCGTTTAATTCTACGATAGAAGTGTTGGTTTGTTTTTTCTGTTTTTTTTTATTTTTTGTTTTTTTACGATACCAACTGACGATAGAATAGAAATCGAAAGTGATTCTCTTTCTAATTATTTTTTTTCTTTTTTAATTTTTTTTTTTTTTTTTTTTAACGAACTAACTCGTCGCTAAGAACGAAAATTTGGAAATTATAAGTCCGCGTATTTTTATCGAAACGAAGAGAGTTTCCGTCGAGCCTATTACTACGTAGTATACCGAAATACGCGCAAGTATCAATCGACGAACGTGTTTCGTTGATTTCAAGAAAAACGAAAAAAGAACAAAAAAAAACAATACTTGCGCGAAAATCGAGTTTTCCGAATATATTAATCTTAGATTAAAATTTAAACGATATTTTCAATCTAACGAACGACACCGCGAATTATCGTCGATTCTTTTTTCCACGATGGTCTCTGTCGGGGAAAATAATAATTAAAAAAAAAAAGAACGAAAAAAGGAAAATAAAATTAACAAATAAAAAACGTACGACGATTATTGAGTTGACGATGTTTAAGGGAGAAAGAATGAAAAAAGGAAAAAAAATAAGATAACGAAAGTTACCCTATGATTTCAAGGTTATAGATAAAAAAAAACGATTCACGTTATTATTGTTACATTTGCAAGTATTTAAAAAGTAACATCTTATAATTGAAAGTTTGCCTTTCCCAAAATTAATATTTTTGTAAACATTATTTGTACCTAGAATAGTATGTATATATAATAATATATACTATACAAGCACGTACAGTTACGATACCTTCAGATATGATATATCAAATATAATATATATATACAAATATATCGTATGTTATATAAGTAAACAATTAAGCGTATATATATATATATATATACAAACACACACACGTTGCATTATTGTAATAAATTCATAAATAAGAGCGCGTCCAGGTATATACACACACACATACATATGCGCATACACATAGATACGTTTAAAAAAAAAACAATGATGATTAATTTAACTAAACATCTACAGATATCATATAATATTCACGATTATTATTAATTAATCAATCGCATGCAAGCACGATAACGATGTCGTTTAATTAAGGCACCCCCCTCTTTTGCCATGACATTACGAGTTCTCTTACTTGTAAGCTTAGTTGTATAAAATGAAAGGTGATTACAGTTGGAAATCAGACAATACTTATCATTACGATTATAAATGCATAGGAGAGAAAAGAAAAAAAAAAAAAAAAAAAAAAAAAAAATATTAACTGTTCAATATAAAAGAAAAGCAAAAGAAAAAAAATGAAAAATTAATTACGAATAATCGATTAACACATTTCGATATAAGAATGAAATAAGTAAATACTTTTCATAGCAAAATTGTCGAAAANCATTACGATTATAAATGCATAGGAGAGAAAAGAATAAGGATAAAATAATATCTAACAAAATATTGACTGTTCATTGAAAAAGAAAAGAAAAAAAAAAAAAATGAAAAATTAATTACGAATAATCGATTAACACATTTCGATATAAGAATGAAATAAGTAAATACTTTTCATAGCAAAATTGTCGAAAAGTTTACGAGCTTCTAGTCAGTAGCATATCTTTTACTGGCTTTCTCTGTACGTCTACTACATTTTACCTTTTACACGTCTCTTTAAAAAATCAGATTAATTATTATATTATTATATACGTAACCGCGTATTTGCGAACGTAATATATAAATATATATATATAATATATATCTAATTAACATATCGAATTGATGTCAGATAAGTACAAGAATACATTTCGTGTCCGAATGTACGAATCAATTATAAATTGATCAAGTTAAAAAAACAAAAAAACAAAGATTTTATTTAGTTTAATAAGAAAGAAATTTTCATTAAAAAAAAACTGATGTGTGTATTTATGTACGCACGTAAGAAGTTATACTTCTTTAGCGTACCAAAACGAATATAACCTCAATAACCTCAAAAATAACTTCAATTTGCCCGCGCATCGTAAATATCGACAACTTCGTGGTGTCGATTTTTCGGTCGCATCTAACTTCACTTTCCAAAACGCGCCAAAAGAAGTATAACTTCAAAAAGAAAATATAAGAGATTAGTATAATAATATAGCGAATATCGACGAGCAATTGTTTTTGTTCATTTAACAATCATAGATGCGTATCGTGAAATAGAAAATGGTTCGATAGAGTAAATGTTAAATAAACAAAAGAAATAAAAAAAAAAAGAGAAAAATAAAAAGAACGATCTGAAGTACATATTTTTTATCGTAATGTATATTTCTTAATATATTATATATATTATAATATATAAGTATGTAATGCTATAACATCTTGCTTATATACAAATTTCGTTTTATTAAAATATTTCATTTGCCACCACAACGATGTTATCAGTATGTATACTTTAGATACGAATAAAGCCTAGTCCATTATCAATGTTAATCATTTAAGATATAATAGTATACAGGATCAAAGTTCGTACTTAAATGCTATAGTAACAAAAAAAAGAAAAAGAAAAAAACGAAACTCTTACAAATAGATTATTCAATAAGAAAAGAAAATTATCTCTACAATTGCATTATATATTATGATTTTTTTCTTGATCACAGTTTTGATTTAAACAAATCTATCATTCTCTATTGAATCCTATAAACGAACACACGATTATTTAAATATATATATATATATAAAAATTTATTAGGTTTTATTGTTGATACTTACAAAAAAAGCTTATTTTACAATTATTCCTTCTCTTTTTCAATAAAATATCTTTTTAGTATATGTAATTTTTCAAACTCGAAAGATGTCATAACTATAAATGTAAAAATGTTAATTTAAGTGGATGGATATCGTTTCGTATGTATAATTTATTTTCAAATATTCAAATTACCTGATGAATTCTTCATTAATCGGTATTTCTAAACCATAGGATATTATCTGCATTATAAAAACAAACCCACAAATTGAAATTTGTATTCTCCTAAATCGCGATTCCTTGTAACAATGGAAAAAAAATCGAATCTAAAATATGGCTATTAACAATTTTAACAGGCTACCCTGTTACATTCTTGTTCGATTTTTGGTCGTTGATGATCCATACACAAAGAAGGTCTCAATATTATTCTGTAAGCCTCCAATTCGTTACTACTAATTATTTCACTTTCATTATAGGACGAGCGAACGCAATGAAGTTGACGTGTTTGAATACCAAAATGTCCACAGGAAGCTGAACATGTTTCCCATGGTCCTGGCAGCCATTTATAATCGCAACTAGAAAGTTATGAACTTTTAATAAAATTATTGCGTAATTGCGACACGTATATGTGCCGATAATTATAACCATAGATTAATTGTAAGTGTTAAAAAATTAAAAAAAAAAACATGAAAAAATTAATTTTATCATTTGTTTTACGATATAAATCATTGTATAATATAAGATAAATCATAAAATTCATTTTTTTTCTATTTTTTGACTGTTAGTCTTCTGTCATAATTATCAGCAATATTTTATAAACAATATTTATCAATTTACAAGACCGCATTTAATAATTATTCATAATACCTGTTTAATTTATAACATATAAACATATATGCATCAATACCTCTGTATGTTACAAATTTCCATTTTTAAATTAGGTTTGGGAACAAATGCACATTTCCTTCTGGAAACTATTCTTCCAGTCTTATCGTCCTTACAAGCAATCATTTTTCTCCGTATTCCACCTCCACAGGTGACAGAACAAAAATTCCATCCACCCTCCATCCATAAGTATCGTTTATCTGTATTTTTTTCATTACGGTTTATGGAATACCGTGAAGATACAGCTATTGATGTACCCGATCTTACAACATTCGGTGGTACTACGAACTTTATAAAATAATAAAAATTAATTAAGTAACACCTATCTCTCTTTGTATTTTTAAACTGATCATAAAATTCATTCAATTATATTTTGATACCGATACGATAATGTCATCCAAAGCCATCCCTCTAGTTTTCACGGTATATTTGTTATTAGCAACTATCTGAATTTGAAAAGCAGTACCCTCGACCACTAACAATTCGTAACTTTTTATATCAAAATTGTTTACTCTATGTCGACGTTTTTTACCATCTATTATAACGAACGTTGTATTGATTTTATGTACGAACGATGTTTTTAACATTGTAATATTCATTTCCATGTTAATACCATTTCGCGGTAATACGGTTAAACGTGTCATTGCTGTAAATAACAAAGATGAATTTATTACTATATAAAAAAATATTGTTAATGAAATAATGATTTATATAATTGTAACAAGTTTTCGAATATATAGAATCGCCAAGAGGCTATCTTCGAGATAGATATATTGAGTTTAGAAATTTCAACTCTAACTATTCCCAATTTCTTTGCAAGTGTTAAACCAATTATTCATACTTCTCGATCAGCTATACTAGAAGATGGAAACTTGCAGTACTACTCTCCTCTTCTTGGCTTGAAATTCAATTTCAACGAAAGTTAGTATACTAACCTCGGCGTAGTTTACGTTGAAATTTATTAATAACGTAGTCGCAATCGGTATCGTTGCCATTGCATGTACCACAATTGTCCAATATTTTGTCCGAATTGAAAATATTATCGCACCCCATACGCCTACATTCGCCCTGCGCAAAAAAAAAAGAAGAAGAATCATTTTTAATGATCTTTTCCAAATTCATACCGTTTATTATTCTCGATATCTGATAAATAATAAAGAATTTCCCGTTCGTTACCTGAATACAGATGTCCGTAGAACCGTAAGAACAAGGAGTCCCATTCATTAGATTCTTTTTACTTGTAAATATTTCTCCGGTCTCTTTGCTACGGCAAATTAATCGGCATTTTAATTCTATTTCTTCGGGCTCGTAAGCCAACCATGTCATGTTCAATTTCGACGATATTTCTTTAAAATCTAAAATACCGATCAATCTCGAACATTGTTGAGCACGAAGATCAATATTTGTCAAGCATTTCATTGACTCGCAAATTTTACAATCCTCGCTAGAACCCATACAATATTTTCCACCGTAAGCTGGCCTACGAATAACATAATCGTTTATATATATATAGATATATGTTTTTTTTTTTTAATTTTCATAAACGATTTTTACCGTGGATTGCTGCAAGTTCGTGATCTACATTGTACACCAATGCCGCATGATCTGGTACACTTTCCCCATAAACTCCAACCACTCCATCCTCCATTTCTTGGATTAGAAAATAATGGTTCTAAATTCGATCTTTCTCGATCCATAGTTTCGCAGCGGCCGTTAACGCACCACTGTCATTTTTTTTATTATAATATCATTTAAAATAATAAAAAATAATGTATATTTATTAATATTATATGTTCTTGAAATTATCTTACTTTATTTTTTCCACAGAGTGTACCTTCCATTGGTGGACCTTTCTTAGTTTTGCATATTTGAGAAATGTTCGAATTACCACACCATAGACGAGAACACGGTTCCCGAATTTCAAAGCTTTTACATAGATGATAACTAACCATACGATCACACAACAAACATAACGTAGATTACAAAATTTGAAATCAATTTAAAACTTTTGTATGATTATTGACAATTCAACTCACCCTTGACCAAATTCCACTCGACATTGTTCATCCATCGTAAACATTTCTTGTACATTAATATCCAACCGTGTAATATTATTGTCAATATTCGGTCGATTTAACAAACAAGACCATTGTCTATAAAATAATGGAATTTATTCATTAGTTTACCAGATGTCATCTCAAAAAGAGAGAGATAGTAATATAATACGTTTGACAAATAAGAGATAAATAATAATTTACAACGTTACTTGACTTTCCGATGGAATTCTTTCCTCGAACACGTGGACCAATAAAAATGATGGAAAGTTGCGGCAACCATAGGGGCCATCACGCTACCAAGCGAAGCTTCCTCCTCGCAATAATTTCCAGATGTTTTATCGCCATCGTGAGTCAATCCCAAACTGTGCCAAAAAAATAATTTGATTATTGTGAAATTTAAAGATACTTTTATTTTTTTTCTAAAAAACTATAAATTTCAATTAAATTTTTGTCATCGTACGTAAATGACATTTTTCCAATTTCTTCCGATTGATATTAATTTCATTAACACGCGTTATTACTTCGTTATAAAAATTCTTTCAATTTTCAAAAGTTTTAATAAACTTTTGTCCGTGTGTGTAAGACTAAAAGATACTTTTTTTTTTTAAATGGGTTTCAAATGATATTAATTTGACTAACATATGTGCCAATTCGTGGGCAATGATGAAAGCACTGGTTAAACCTTCGTCACGATTTAAAGTACAAGATCTCGCAGGATTGCAAACTCCCGATACAGGAGCGTATCCTGATGGACCACCGATATCTAATCGAGTTAACCATATTGCTATATCGTGACTATCCTTTGATAAGGATAAGAGTTTGCGGTTCCACTTGTTGACATTTTCCAAAGATTTTCTTGAGTTTCCATCTTGAACCTACGAGTGGGAAAATTAATATCGTTGGAATATTATAAAAATCGATCGGTTAATAATCACACATAGAAAATATTCAGAATATATATATATTCGTTAAAATTGATTTTAAATCAAAAACTTATCTTACCAAACTATCTCTCTTATCCGCGTAAAGGATTATCCGAGCAACCACGAGAACCATATTAGAGTCGAGTGAAGGATCTCTAAAAACTGCACTGACCTGAAAAATTTCGAGTATCGTAATCGTTGATTTTAATGTTCTTATTCGGTACGAACAAAATTGAAAAATAAGAGAAATATTATAATTAGCGATTTTTCTTTTATTTATTTATTTCGATCGTTTGTTTGATTAAAGTTTATATCTTTAATCATTATCATTATTATCCTTATTCCATAGTTTTCTTAGTTAATTGTTAATTAATCGTTTGAACTCTTGTTTCCACTTTTATCGTAAAATCGTAGATAAAGTTGAAAAGTTCGAACGTTTTATAGGTAATATTTTTATGCGGCTTTTGTTTTTTTTATTAAAGTATAAGCCGATCTTTATCGATTACATTCTTCGTCTAATTTTAAAAGAAAAGTATTACAACATTGTTTAAATTTTAATGGTTCAAATGAACAGAAAAAAAATACTTCTCGTACTTAACTATAATAATAATCAATAAATTCATTCTGATACGCAATTCATATTTTTTTGTTCTTAGATAGATATACTATCATTAATATTTCATTAGTTCATTTAAAAGAAATATGATATGTAGAAAAGCAGAAAGGATCGCGAATGGAATAATAAAAGAGTATATCGTAATATTTATTTTACTTACAATATTCAGAAGTGCAAGAACGTATTGTCGAACACGAGGACCATGAAATTCGATAACAGAATAATCTGCAGCTATCGCAACCTCCAACCATCGTGGTGGTAATTGTTTCCGTTCTATGTTGACAGGTTAATAAAACGTAACAGCAATTATTTGTAATGCAATTATAAGACGCACACGGTAATATTATTCATTATCTTGATATTCGAATGTTTAATGGATGAATTTAAAATGAAACATTAATTCAAGCAAAAGCAAAAAATATAATATATATATCCCCATTATAATTATAAAATAATCAAAAAGTAATAATTATTCTCTCCGATGAAATAAACGAAATTTCAAGTGTATCGATGAATATAAATGAATGAAATTATTGATGTTGAAACGAACGTGTAAGAAAAAAATGTTCATGTACTCGGTACTTTGCTTCTGCTCCAAGATGGATTAGAAAAATAACCAACGTCCTCGGGATCATTCCTTGGTGGCAATCGTTCGATCATAACATCGTCGTCTGTTTTTTTCAAGAATTCCTCATTATCCTCGAAATCAAGATTCAAATTTTCCATATCGAAAACATCTCCGGTTAGATTATAATATCCATTAGTTTTAACGCTTGGAATATCTCGTTTGGATCGTTCTGTGGGACCTTTCAATTCGTTTATTTTCTTCTGGTAATAAAAATCAGGTAAAATTTCGATCGACGGACCAAAATCTGAAAAGATAATTTAGAAGAATCCATTGATCGTGTTACGTAAATTATACGTCGGTTAGATTGTAAAGAAACCAACTGTTAGAATAATATAACGCAATATTTGTATATCTTCTTTATATGTATCTGTGAAACGTAGTATGGGATAGAATAAAAGAGAGAGGGAGAGAGACAAAGAGAGAGAGAAAGAGAGAGATAGGAACTGGGTCATATCCCGTATTTGCCGTAACATGGCAGGTGTAGAGGATCTATAGCGTTTTACTAAGAATACGAATGCTACTACTAGTGGACACGTCTGGCTACGTTCCTAGCATAGAAATGTTAATACCGATGCAACAGCAGCTTTGGGAGACTAAATAAACACTCGGCGTATCTCGTACGTAGTCAGATCCACCTACAACTTGTATGTTAACTTACTAGACGCTCTGCTTGGTATTATATTATTATACTGAATATCAATTAAAAATATCAGAAAAATAATATAAGAATTCTTCGAATTAATTAAGGAAAAAGGGATTATATGAAATTGTTTTTATAATAACTCGTATATCATGACTTAATGGTGAAATGTTGTATATTCGTGCTAAAGTTTAAAGAAAAAAATTTAATTCGTACATTAGATCGGATTATCAAAGAAATACACTTTCCAAGAAAACTTAAACGAGCATCGTTGTAAAAATAATAGTAGATTTAAGAATTTGTTTTATTTTAACAGTTAGTTTCTCGTTAATTTATTATATTATTTAGTTATTACACATCAAATGAATTAATTTATAAATCTATTGTATCGTATTAAAAATATATTCCTTACTTTTGGATAATTGTTTGGACGACCACCATTTGGTATTATTCGATTCGTAAAAAATATGTTTACCATTAGTCAAAGGTTCCACGAAGAAGGATCTACCATTGACGATGAAAAATGCATATATTTCATCTAAACAAATCGTCAATACAACTGACGAAGAATTTTCATTGTTTTCTATAATACCGTATCTTAGATCGCAATCTAAGAAACTACGATTGAAATTTTCTCGTTCATTTGATAGACCATTTGAAAATGTTAATCGATCGTTGATCGTTGTTACAAGTGTCCAATTTTGAACGATCACATAGATCTTATTATGTTTTAACGTGGGAATCCTCGAATAATAATTTATCAATGGTAATCTTTGATCACGTAACGATGAGGATAGATAATCATACGTTATTATTCTCGGATATATAATCTCGTATTCGGTTGAAGTTTGGATGAGCTCGTCTACGCGCGATTTAGTGGCCACTGTTGCGAATAACCACGTCGTTAATAGCAAACTCGTGAGTTTCGATTGTGGCATGCTTACACCCTGTCGCATTAATTTAATTCACTACGGTTGTTTTCTCTTTCTCTTTCTCTCTCTCTCTCTCTCTTTAACTGTCACACTCGAAACGAACGATAAAATTGTACAAATATAATTGCACTCACGTGAAAGAGAGAGAAAGAGAGAAAGAGAAATATATATATAAAATAACAATTTATATCGATGAAAATTGTTTTTTCTACCGGACTCAAACGCTCTTTGTGTTTTAATCGGTAACACACTCGAACGTTTAATAATTTCAACTACGCTACTTTAACCACTCGACACTTTATATGCTATAGCACTCGTTAAACTTTGGTCGAAGTTACTGGTTGTTTGAATAATAAAGCGAATTAAACACTGAATATTAATGTACGCGTTAGAACAACAAGAATACGGAATAATATGTATATTTATCGTTGGTCAATTTTTTGTACACAAGAGTTAACACAGAAATGAGATGTGACTTTGACAAGAATTGACAATGACAACTGTAACAATCAACGAACTACGAGAATTATGATGATGGTTACACGATGACGTATACGATGATATCTAACAAATCTGAAACGCGTAAAATCATTCTTCTGTGAAATTGTCTTAAAGAGAGATAAAGAGAGAGAGTGAGAAAGGATACAATAAATAAAGATCACTTAGGTCAATTCGGGAAACAAATGTATCATTTTTCAAACGATTACGATGGGAAAATATCACTCGTGATAATATTATGGGATTGGTTTAATTGAAAAAAAAAAAAAGAAAAAAAAAAGAAAGAAAGAATAAACTTTGGCTCGCGACATATCGAGCGAGAGATTAATGTTAAGAATAAAAAAAAAAGAAAGAAAGAATAAAAAAAGATTCTTTCTAATTAAGGTCTAATGAGAAAAGTGCAGTTTCGTTTGGTAGGCCGTACGCGTTGCAACTGGCTAGCACATGGACGAGGAAAACGACGAAAGCACGCGCCCATGAGAAAGAGAGGAAGAGGAGGTGGAGGAGGAGGAGGAAAAGGAGGAGAGAAAAGAGAAGAAAAGAGAAGAGAAGAGAAGAGAAAATAAAAGAAAAGAGAAAAAGATAACGAAGAGACGAACGAGCCGGATATTCTTCGAAGCAGCCGAGAACGCATCGTCGCATCGACGAATGCAAGCAAACGCATCGTTGCGGGGCTAGAAAAAGCACACCAGTCAAGTACTTGGCAACCGGCACAAGTTCTAATAATGGCGGCTTTATGTTCAACCGTATAATACTTACTCTCTCTCTTTCTCTCTCTCTCTCTCTCTCTCTCTCTCTTTCTCATTCTCTGTTACGATCTTGTAACGCTGACAAAGTGTCGCTTTTCGAATTTATCGAATTCCACTAAATTCTCTTTCAACACCGTCGACTACGACGACAACGACAACGACGACCACCTGTGACACAACCAATTCTATACTGAACTGATTGTTTTAACGGTAACTCAGGTAATTAGATTGTCACATCAACGACAAAAGGACAATAACAATTTCGCACAAATACGCTGACAGATACGCCTTCGTATCTATCTTTGCCCGATTGAATAAATATTCTAAAAGGAAAATAAATAAAACGAATTAATACGCAAAACAAAAAAAAAAAAACAAAAAAGAAAACAAGAAAAGAAAAATGTCACTGCGAGTGACAGGGAAATTTGTTGTGAAATTTACATTGGAACGATTTTATGGAAATTTACTTACACGTAATAACTCTGTTTCAAACGAGTGATATCTAAAATTATGTAAATTCCCGTGAAACTTTGAGATCGTCTATCTTCCGAGAAACTTTGAGGATTTTAATCTCGTATTTTGGAACGGAAACGACCGATTAAATTAATTCCGGAAGTTATTCCACTTTGTATTCGTTTCCAAAATTTGTAGTAATATCTATCTACTATAAATATATATATAGGAAGGATTCGGAACGACGAAATAAAAGTAAGTCGACTAATAAAACTTAATATATGTTATTTTATCGATATTGTCACGACGAATACATGGTGATTGTTAAAACGATTTGTAATATAAGCGCTAAAAGAAAATTTATTTCTTTCATCGTAAGATCGTTGGCAGTTCCGGTTCCGGTATTGCATAAAGATTTATCACAGCAGGCCGTGCAAGCGTAAAGCTTCGTTCTTTCACCGATCACTATACAACCAGGTTCGCATTTACTCGTGCAGTTTCTTTCCAAAGACCACACGTGAGGACTCGAAGTTGAATTTTCCGTACTCGTCGTGTAAGAGAATCGTTTAACCTGTAAAATATAAATAATCCAATTCGAATTATATATGTCAGCAATTAAAAAATTGTATATAATTCAATCAAATCATGGAAAGAACAAATTTAGTTATCTAAATTGGCGAAAACTATTACAATTATTTAATATATATTTATATCAAATTCTTACCATGCAAATTCTTTTATCGTCTTTACATTTGTGAATAAAGGAAGAATGATTATAGGGAAGATCGGAGCATAGATCCCCATCTTCCATAGAATCGCACTGATAACACCATAAGTTGTTCGGCCGTTCGGAAGCAGCATTAGTTCGATGTTCTTTCGTCATTAATTGACCTGGTTATCGAAAGAAAACTTACTACGTATGTACGCTCGATGATATAGACTTTGATAAACGTGTTTAACTTATAGTGCTAATATAAAATCTCATTAATTAGATCGAGTCTTGAATGAAGATTGATGTAAGTAGATAGTAAATGACAATTTTCAAATATTCTCTACCCTTCTATTAATTATTTTATAAAATGTAACATATGTGTTAAATGTTAACAAGTACATAAGTAACTCAAAAAAGAAAAAGAAAAACAATAAAACAACAATAAAATGTATATATTAGGTGTAACCATTAATCGTTGATTTGATATTAAATTCACTGCATCTAAATTGCCATCTTTCTTTCCATCAAAATATTCGGCAGTTGTATGAAAAATCGATCAAAAAGTAATCACAAAAATAATTTATTAAATAAATATTAAATTTGTTAAAAAGACACTATATATATATCCCAGTAATTTGCCAATACACTAACAATAAGTGAACAAAAATTAAAAGAATCTAGTTTACAATTATTTAGATTACATAATAAATGGTTTAAATTTTTTGATTTATAATTAATCCATTATCTCAATTACCGACACTTTTCATTGTGTACTGGTATATACCATTTTGGTATATCAATTGTAATTTTAATCGTGCGAATGGAAAATATAGGCACAGGTGCAAAGTATGTAAAATATCGCATACATATATACATACACCTATATATTGATAAAGGGATAAAGGAAGATGGTAGACAGTGGTAGAGACAGGAAGGAATGCATAATTAATCACTTACCATCGGAGAGGACGATCGAAACGATAATCAGGAAGCACGCAACTCTTACACGAATATCTTCAGCCATTTTTGAGAATTCCAAGCACCTGATATGTTAACATATATATATATATATATACATATATTTGTATATTATATTAATTAGAATGGAAAACAGGTCGAATGGTCACGTTATTGAAAATAACCGATGGTCCGTCAACAACATTTTCCTTTGGCATTTTTTCTGCACGTAGTAGTAGTAGTAGTAGTAGTATCTAAATAAGGACACAAAAGATGATAATAACTGTTGTGTTGGATAAATAACGAAAAAAGACAATGGCTAATGTGGAAGAGTGAGAGACGTTTTAATATTGACTCGAAGAAAATAGATAATTTTTCGCGAATTTTCGTCATGGCGACGAAATCGAGGCTCTCGCGACGCTCGCGACGCTTCTCCGCCACTCGGAAATTCTCGTAGCGTCATACACTGGGGCTCGGTTGCTGAGTTTGCGCAATACGAGTGTTGCTCTAGAAACCTCGAAACGTTGAAAATCGATAATCCTGCCAAAAGGTCCCTGTCCCTGTCGTACCTTTTGTCGTATTTCTCGTATTCCTCCTCCATCCACCTTCTCCTCCTCATCCTCCTCCTCCTCCTCCACCTCCTGGTTGTCGTCGTCATCGTCGTCGTCTGACGTCAGAACTCCCCATCCTTCCACTCCTGCCACCACCGTCCCCCACCACCACCACCGCCACTTGCCAATGAGATTAATTACCGTTTAAACGTTCCTTTCGTTTTTTTTCATTATTTCTAACTATTGTTTTTTTCTGCTTCTTCTTCTTCTTCTTCTGTTTCTTTTTCTTTTTCTTTTAATTTATTAAATTTTTTTGTTTGTTTGTTTCATTTTGTGATGAAATAAAATGAAACTTAGGTAAGATTATACGTTTTCTTTTTCTAATGAAAAAATAATATTTGATTATGTTTCAACGCGGTAAACTTTATCACCACGATTACCGTGGTCAAATAATTGGTGTTAGATTTGGAAATATTATACATTCTACTTTCGGAGTTTATTATTGATTCCACTTTACAATTCTTCTTCTTCTTCTTCTTCTTCTTCTTTTTATTAGGACTTCGTCCTGTTATAGGTTTTTTGTTACAATTAGTTACAATATAGGTAGTTGTTACATAATTGTAATTATAAATATTGTTTTATTATTATTTGATAATGATTTTATTGACTATTATCTATTATTCAATTGTCACAATTATTAATTTTAATCTTAGAAATCTCGTCTGCAACGATTGCGGATGTCCAAAAATGCATAATTTCATTTAAACAAATGACGATGACCTTTATATGTTTGGCGAGCTTCCACCTGGGAATAAATGTTTCCCCATAATACGAAGTATCGTCCCCTTGATAAAAAACAACTTTTAATTCACGTATTTGTTTTTATTTGTAAAATAGTAAAAGTTATTCAGTTGGTTGGTCTTTGCTGATTCAGTTTGCATATGACGTATTATTATTTTGCAATTCATATTACAATACTATCCACATGTTGCATTTATTATTTCCCTACAGTATCATCATAAATATTTAATGTGTGTATGATAAATAACTATGTTGGCAATTTGAAATAATTTAGCTAATGTATAAGTAACATTTAACAATTTTCTTTTTACTTTAAATTAAAAGATACAAAATGCTAAAATTTTAATAATATATAGGAACTTTATATAGATTCATATTCTTTTAATAAAAAAAAAAAGAAAAAAAAAAAAGAAAAAAGAAAATGAGAATTTCTAGTGGCTACTAAACGTTTCGGAATGAGTATTTTGGCTGAGTATTTAGGCAAATCGATATTTCGATTGTTTGTTTGGCTTTCGTGTAATCGGTTATTCGCTTAATTGATAATTGAATGAATGATCGACTATGCCATTATATTATTTGTTATCGAATATCGCACGGTCTCACTCAAAATACAAATATTTCATTGATATATTTATAATTTCATTAACAAATCTTTTATTCATTTATCATATTATTCATATATATACATATATATAAGACAATCAAATTTGCAAAATTTGATTATCATCATTGAAATTAAATGTTTGGATGGAAAAAATTTTGTTTGTAATAATGATACATTTTGTGAGTTAGATTAATATTTATTAAAAAAAAATAAACGAGCATCTGTTTATTACTTTGACGTAATATCTTTTATAATTTGATCTCTGAATCAGTGAATTTTCACTTTGCCAAGGAGACCGCAGTGCCAGCGGCTGCACAAAGTAATAGTTGTTACTTTTCATCGATCATTCCGCTTTTCTGCTACGGTACCTGCACGTTTTACAGAGGTGAATAACCGCAGGAAAATCGATTCCAAGTCGGTGAAGCAGTCGACGGTACAACTGCTTTCTCTCTCACGATGCTCTTCTACTCTTTTCAAACGAATCTAAGTAAGTATTTATCATTTATCTTCTTCTTATTCTTATTCTTCTCCTTTTCTTCTCTCTCTTTCTCGATTTTTCTTCGTTCAGTTATTGTAATAATATTTTACATCGTGAAATAATTATAAAATATATTAATCTAAAGTAATAGAGTATTATTAGGCAGACTGAAAGTAAATGAAGTTCATCTTACGATTAGAAAATTCTTTGAAACTTTAGAATAAAATTGGATTTTAAGTGGGAGACCAATTTACGAGCTTTCGTTTAAGAGTTACAGAGATTTCGGTAGTCACTTTTCAAGAATCCTTCTTTAAATATTTCACATCGATAATCAAGTTTCAAAGTTTGAAATTATTCTGACCTACCCATACCATTGTGGTTCCTGGCCAATGGTCTCCAGACAAAATTTAATGTTTCTTTTAGAAAGAGAAAAAAGAAAAGAACAAAGTTTCGTTTTCGAAGAGAAATAAATCATAAATAAGGGATAAATAAATAAATAGCAATTTCTGGGATGAAACTAAAGTTGGAAAGATAAAGTTTAAAAGAGACGAGTGTTCTAGACGTTACAGCTGGTAGTTTTGAGCTTTCAACAGGAAAAGAAAAAAGAAACAGAGATAAACGGATAGTAAGATTTACTGTTACAACTTTCGTGTAATTAATCCGTTCCTCGTTAAATCTTCTCTTTACGATCTCATTTTTTATAATGATATTACAAACATAATTACCGATTACGGGGAAAAAAGAAAAAAAAGAAATAATAATAATAATTATAATAGTAATAAAGAAGAACAAGAAGACGGACACAAGCACACTCGCGAGATTTAAAATCGCACTTACTCGCAACGCTTATAAATACCTATATGTGCATATATGCGCTTAAGTATAATACATTACGTATATATTATTATTTAAGTATAATATATTTACCAACGTGTATGGTAAGAACACAGAGCAGTAAAGAGTAAAGTTTTTTCTTTTTTCGTTTCTTTTTTTTTTGTTTTTTTCTTTTTAGAACGAAGTCACAAAGTTCCATAAGCGATTCTTCGTTCAACAATGTGTACTCATTTTATTGACATTTACGTTGAAGCAACACGTGAATCAACCACGAGCTCCGGTAAATTAAACGGACGTACGTACCAAGAGAAACCACGAAAAGAATAAAAGTGAACCAATAGTTAACGAGAGTTGGACAGATTCCAACGATATGTTTACGATTCTAGAAGACCCTCTTCGTGCACGTTTTATGCATTTTCTACTATGACTATCGAGAATTGTCTTTTATCATATAGATTATATTATATTATATGTAACAATATTTATCGTTTCATGGATTTATCTATTAATTGGATGCCTCTATAAAAGAAATCATTTATTTTGTACCATACGTTATAAGAAAGAAAGCACTCATTTGCCAAATTAATTAACTCTACAACAAACAAACAATAGAAAAAATGTAATATTCGTATATTCCTATAAATTATCATTTAACGACCGTAATAATTGTAGTTTTTTTTCTTTCAACGATGCTTAACGTGTGTAACAATTATTAAAAGGAAGCTTTTAATTAATATATAAAAAGTAGAAACATCTATCAAATAACTTTTCCACTTAAATTTTGAAACAATTCTAAAAATGACCAGTGAATGGGCTTCGTACATCGTATACGATTTATTTCGTAAGATACATAACTACGGAAATGTTTCAAATTGCAGAAATAATAAATAACACGCTTAGACAATGGAAATGTTTATTTTTATTTATAATGAAATAAAATATACAGTGTTGCTTTTTATTCTAAGCTTCCCTTTGTAATCGACAATTTAATCAAAACAACAATGTAGCTTACCCGCGTTTATTAACGAATTTCAACGATTACGCGAGCTCGTTTGCGGTTTTTAATGAATATTTAAAATCAACAAAACTAAATACATACTATACGTACGTGGATGAATAATATTATATTGCTTTTCGATTAGCATTTAAAACGCTTTTTATTTATTAGACTAATCCAACCACTGTAAACAAATTTACATTATTATTACGGCGCTATGGGGAGAGCTTATTGTTAGATTTTAATCCTATTTCATAAAATCATATGAATGCGAGCTCAAAGCTCTTTTGTTTTAAAGTCTCAAAGAAATTACAAAAGGAATATGCAAGATATAAACGCAAATATAGAAAAAGGGTTGTAGGAAAATGGGTAAAATAAAAGAAATAAAATAGAATTAAATATTACACAATGACAAAAGTATTTGCATAAATGAAACGAGAGAGAAAAAAGAAAAAAAGAAAAAACAAACAAAACCAACTGTGCATTAATTCGAGATGAAATTTGAAAAAGAAATAAAAGAAAAAAAGCTCACACCTCACTTCTGTCGTGAAAAGTGAAGAGTTTTGACTTTGGAAAAGATCGAATAGGAAAAGTTTGATTCGTCGTTAGTCGAAACACATTTGATCTGAGGGGGAAAAGTTAAAATAGGAAAAGGGACAGGAGATTGACAGAATAGTAGAAAAAGATAGGAAATAAAAAAAAAAACTGGAAAAAGCATCAAAGAGGAATATGAATAAGAATAAAAGATTCGCCGTTACTATTTCATTTATCGGTGTCAAAAAGTTGAGCTTATAAGGATGGATAGATCTACGTCATCGGATTACAAGTAGAGTTGGGGTTCTGTGTGTTTATGGTGAAGCAACACGTGAGAGAGGAGTTGGTTTTCTAGCAAGAATACAACCCCTGTTATTCGTCGAGAAAGCTTGCGTACATATCAATATATATATATAGGTGTATCCAGAACCGCGCGGTCTGAGTTCGCGCGGCCCGCGGTTCCAGAAGAAAGCTCGGCATTACGACGGAAAGCTCCGAAGGGGATTGGTCGATCGGCTGCTGGTTGATCATGGAGGGGGATACCAGGTCGCGAACGAGCATCACAGTATTACTCCGACCGTCGCGACGGTCACAACTCTTCTCGAAAGCTTAGTAAAAGCTCCGACAAAAAAACCTCTAACGTTTCTCCCTATATATATATATATATTTATTCTACGATTTTAATTACATTATAAATTGTTATATTTTTCATTTTTCGTATATCATTTAAAAGTTTTGTCTTTCGCGAAATGCTCGAACCGTTTGTGATCGAATTCACGAAAAACGAGAATACTTTTCTACGTGATATTATATTTATATTTTAATTTGTTTTTGTTATTGTTGTTGTTTTTTCTTCTTCTTCTTCTTCTTCTTCTTCTTATTTCTTTTTACTTTTTTTTTGTTATCCTAGTACATACATACATATATATGTATATTTTCGTTTAACGAAATAGTTATTGCGAGATAGTGAAGAAATTTCGTTGAAAAGTTCTTAGATTTTAAAGAGAAACGGGAACGCGAGGAAATTCATTTCGCGGCTAATAAGAAAGTTTCCGTGATACTCGATTAAATCGTTTTAACCGATCTAGATAGATCTCGATAAAGTTTCAGAGAACGGAAAGAAAAGTGAAAGGACAACTACTCTACGTCACTGTTGATTCAAGATCGGTACGTATTCACGTACATGTACGTTACCCACATTTTATATGTATCTGTTTCATTTTTTATTTATTTTTCTTTTTATTTTATTTCTATCGGAATACGAAGATCACATTAATGTTTTAACTTTTATTAACTAAAAATTGTAATATATACTCTAAACAAAAAATTTATCGAATTATACTTTTCTTTCCTCTATTGTATGCTTATTATTATTATCATTCTAAAAAAGTTTCCTTAGAATTTTCGTATCTTGTCAAAAAAAAAAAAAACATCGGAGTAGGGTCGAATATGCGAAAGATCGATTGGAAATAAAAAAAAAATTTAATAAATCGAGATGGTCAATGCTCATTTAATATAGAATGATATTTGATTAAAAATTACAAAGTTTTATCATTAACGATCTTTTTAAGAAAATGAAAATGCTATGAAATAAAAAGTGTAGGAGAGAGAGATGCAGAAACATGAAAACGAGAACTTTCGTCATTCAGTAAATGGTAAAATCTACGCGCAGGGCTTATAGTATATACTAACTATTTATGTATACCTACATACTTGTGTATTTATATGTATACTATTTCCTTCCATTTACTGGCCAGGTAGAAACTTATCGGGACATTTTTCTTTCGGCAAATTCATTACGTAGGAAACGAGAAGAAAAGAAAAGAAAAGAAAAGAAAAGGAAGAAAAAAAAGTAAGTAAAACATTGCAAAGGTCCGATTTTGCAATTGCAGTGAAGGTTGCATTTACGCCAAGGACTTCTTTTTATCGGGAAAGAAAAACAAAAAGTAAACAAAATATAATATTATATTAAGAATAAATAATTTTTTTCATTTACGTATTCATATTAAATTATTATTATTATTATTATTATTTATCTTCTTTTTTAATGTATTTTTTATAATCTACTTTTAATATATTAAATGTCATAATTTTTCTAATATTATTTTTACTTGTATGAAACGCATACTCAAGTACATAATATTTTGCAAACTATTCATTCGAATTTTTCTCTACTCTAATTGCAAATATAAAAATCGATCGTGGATATAATGAAACGCATAGATACAACGTATATAACAATAATTATTATTAAATCAATCGGAAATAATATTAAGACGAAAGATTGTAGCCAATTTTGTGTGTGCAAATGTATATAAAACTATTATCAAATATTTCAATTCAATTTGTTAAACATTAACTAAGATTCCTAAAGAAATTTTAACTTCAAGACTTATCCTCGGGCACTTTTAAAATGATTTCCAAGACCGGAGAGTAAGTTAGAGAATCTAGAAAATATTGACTTACTTTTAAATAATTTGAAAGAAAATTTCATATAATCAGCGTTAATACCAATGTACCTATTTACTTTAAACATAACGTAATTATTTTTATCTCTCTACTTTTGTTCTATAGTTTATGAAAATGAAGGAAAATGATATAAGTCAACATTGTTATGAGTATTTAACATTTACGCGAGTTCTGTAAATGGTTTTCTAAATTATACATACGTGACTTGTTAATAAACGCATACACAACACATAATGAACGTTTTCAAAATAATATAATATAATATAATTATCGCGTTTGTTGTGTTCATTTTAAAACTCGATAAATAAGAAACGGGACAGAAATGAAAATTCGATTAAAATGAATTTAAGCACGAATCTTCTTCATCCTAATTTTTCTCGATGCAATAATAATAATAACGATGACGATGACGACGATATCGATGTAATTTTGAATAATCGAGATAACTCGCTTAATTTGTATCTTTTCAAATATACACACGTATATACACGTATTATTTCCTTCGCATGGATATAAAAAAAAAGAAAAAGAAAAATTGAAGGAATAAAAAAACAAATTGTCAAAAGGTAGAATTTGCACTACTTAGCTTTTGAGTTTTCCCAAGAAATGCCTTAAGAGAACTTGGAATTTCCAGAATTTAATTAAAAGCGATGGGAAAAATATTTATGCATCGTTGCACATATATAGTCGGTGTACACGTAAAAATCAATAGGGATATGTGTGTGTGTGTGTGTGTCTCTCTCTCTCTCTCTCTCTCTCTCTCTCTCTCTCTCTCTCTTTCTCTCTTTCTCTCTTTCTCTCTCTCTGTCAGAATACATGCATTTTACCTATATTCAATCGTATGACAGAGACAGACAAACAATTTAAAAAGAAGAATGATCGATAAATTCTCAAAGTATTCTCGATAATTGATTCATTTGAAAAAAAAATTTTTCGCACGTTCGCTCCTACAAAATTCTATTCTTCGAATTTCATTCCTTTCACCAAGCTAAGGAGAACTAACTGTTCGTCATTGATCCGCAATGTTGTGTTAAAACCCTTTGTTAAATTATATACTCTATCACACTATCGAGATTATTTCTTAATTGGGTAAAGGATTTTACAAAAAAATCTTGGCCAGTTAGTTGTCTCTTTTTTTTTTTTATTCCTAAAGAAAAAGTCGGTGATTGCTATTTTTAAAGTGTCGACCGACCGCTTTATATAATACCGTTAAAGGTGAGATGCGTAAACAACTTGATATAATGATACATGATGAAAAAAGAAAGAAAAAAGAAAAGGAAAAAGAAAGCATAATAAAAAAAGAAGGAATGACGAAAGAAGAAAATAAAAGGAACATTCAAGAGGGATGTTTATCATTTTTCCACGACTATAGAAACTGCACTGCAATCTTCAATGATTTTTCTTTTATCTTTCATTTATTCTAAGTCGAAGTATTTTCCATTATCGCGAAATTAGAAAAATGATCTAACTTGTAATAGAAATAAAATCACGCACACAATTTATATTGGATTTAAATCTAATAGATAAAATTTATCTTTGCAAAAAAGTCACGTTACAAGTGAAATATAATGAAAAATTTGTCGATAACAATCTTATGAATAGATAAATACATTTTTACGAATAAGTGGGATATTCGAACCCATAGAATTAAGAGTCCCAACCCTATAAAGTAACGATATATAAAACGTCAAATATAAAGTATTGACATTTCGATGACCTTGGGTTAGTCCTTTTATACGGAGAATAATAAAAAAGATCGATTGATTTAAAACAACAAAATTGGGTAGCACTAAAGAATAAAGTGCAATCGTATAGATGCATTCACATAACAAATAAAAAAACAAGAAACATTATGCCGCATGATATTTTTCTATTTTTTTGTTTTATTTTTTTATTTAAGAACATTTAAAGAACATTAGTCTGTTCCTGTTCCAATACACTCACGTTGTACATATCGTTACGAATATTTTAGAAAAATGAAATTTGGATAAAGAAATTTTTGTACATCTCTCTCTTTTCAAGGGAACGGGTGCGTAGGAATGAGAGCTTAATACGAATAGATTTCTATTACATATATATAGATTTGTATTACCAATAGTTCACAAATCAAGTTTAAATCTGTGCACAAGGTATATAACGTTTAGATATTCCGTTTCGATTTATCGTTGCAATTTTACATCGGACGCGAACATTCAATTCACACGAACGTTATTTACTTGAACAATTTAATACCAACGTGAAAATATACAGCATTATAATAGAGATGGATGATGGATCCTTTTATAAACATTCTCCTCCTTTTTTATTCCAATTATTTTGCGTGTTTTTCTTTCCTTCGTAATTAAAGTAAAAGGTATAGTTGAAAACAAAACAAAAAATACTTTTATAACATACCACTGCAAGCTATAAGATTATTTCAGCGATACATACTTAATAGTTTTTTTACGCGAAAAATGATGATTTTGTCATTGAGTTTCTTTTTTATTTCCCAATAATATTCACATTGTTAAATTGACATTTTTTCATATATGTATATGAATGTATACGTATATGAGAGAGAGAGATAGAAACCATTATTAGTTGGTGAAATTATGATCGGTGAAATTCGTGTGAAAAATATTGTTAACAATTTATTGTTTATTCTTAAAAAATAATAAGACACGATGCGATTGCCGCGACCTATTCGTAGTAGTGCAGTACGGTATTGATCATACAATAGCCGATGTCGTACACGTTCAGTGAAACAACTTTAAGACGATCAAACATGGTCATCTTTCTACTTAAATTTCGATTCAAACATAATTTCAAAATACTTTATCAAATTTTCTTTTTACAATTTCTACTATTATATCTTATTGTTAATCAAAATCTTATCTTGAAGCTTTTAATTGTTATAACAAATATTAAAATATTCTAATGAAATTTGTTGAATAACAAATGTTACAATATATTGTTTATATCTCTTTTACTTTCTGTTTGTTTTGTCGGAAAATAAAATGGACGATGGGTCAAACGTATTTGAAAAAAAAAAAGAAAACAATTTCAGATTGGGGATTATCTTATTTTGTAAGATCATAAATTCGTGCACAGGATGTACCAGAGTTATATGACCCAAGGGAAGTAAGAAACGATGTTAAACAATTTTTCGTTAAGTACATTCTCAAGTAAGGAAGTAAATGTTTTGTGACACTGATAAATGCATCCTTTGAACAAGAACAAAAATTCCATCGATTACGTCGTCCATGTCATCCAATCGTTTGTCTCTCTTTTCTTTTCTTTTCTTTTTTTTTTTTTTCTTTCGTACGTGCGTATATACAACGTGGTGAACAAAATTATAAACATGAATTTATTTCCTTCTGACGTCTGACTAACAATAAGCATTATTTCTCTCTCTTTCTCTTTCTCTTTTTTTACCCCGTTTTTCTCTCACTTCGGTAGCATCGTTTATCGTTAAAAAAAAAAAAAAAAAGAAAAAGAAAAAAAGAAGGAAAAAAAGTAAAAATTATACGAGTCCAAATGATTGTGTAAAATATATAAGCAGATTACAATTGTTCAAAGAGAAAAGAACAAAATTCTAAAAGTACAAAATTCATTACTTTGAACAAATTCTTTTTTCTTTCCAACCAACAAAAAAACGTATCTTATTTTTTTTTTAGAATGTTAAATCGAATGAAGAAAATGAATCGAATGTGTTTCAT